TAATTAAAAGTAATTTTTTACTAATGTTTTTACAATTGACATAAACATTTACATATATACATTAATATCCTTTTAATGTTCACATACTTTCTCTTTTTGGTACTCTGCTACTCCTATTCATCTTCTGGTCGAGGTCGAACAACCCTGCATCTAAACTGAAATGAGGATTAATTCCAAACCATCTATCTCATAACCACTCAAATTCCATGAACGATCCAATTCTACCATTTGAAGACGCTGGCGAACATGCTGTAAATGAGTATTCATGATCTGAAATGAAGAAGCAACTGGTTTTCAAACAGTTTTCAACATTTTTCTGAACTTACGAATACAGTCCGCCATGCAGACACAAATGGAGCAAATGGAGAATTCTGGAATCGACCTCGACACCATTTGATGCAGTAAAACAACTTCACATGACCTTATCTAGTTTTCGCATCCACGATCAAATTTCTTTCCTGTTATAAAACTACGATAAGACTGCTGAAAAATGGAATAAATATATCACTGATCTCAACATAATACATCAATAAACTTTAAGCCAAGGGTGTTGTTCACAACAAAGTTATATAAGAGAATTGACTTCAAGCTTTTTTTCCCAGATATCCGTATTACATTCATCTGATGTCTGGGTTTTTTTAATGCGAAGACAATATTTCTATATCTCTTTATGTGCTACACAGACTTTATAGCAGACTGTTCCGACTGACTCTCATGTCAGAGAGAACAACCAAACTGTAAATTCATCATACATCAAATTGTGTAATTTATATAATAACTTATCCATGCCTGTACAATTGGTATGTTCCTGCATAAACAGGAAGAAATATATTATAAGTGCATCTTCCATATTCTTCATAGCCACAAGAAATTCATTAAGATCTCAAAATATCTCAGTGGTCTGAAGATGAATAATTATTAAGACTGATATAACTTAAGTAACATACGTATTAGTTGTAGGACACAGGCGCTAGCTATTATATGACAGAAAGCTGACACTAATTTTCAGCAGTCTTGCATTTTAGAAGGACCATCTATGTTATTCTTCGTGTCCCAATGCACAATGATATCAACATAATCTGGTGCCATTTTATGCACTGAGCAATTAGGGTCTTCTGAAATTCCATGCGTGAACGTAAATTAAACTAGCATCACATCTTCGCCTAAGCAATTTTAACTAGAAACTTCATCAAAATAGATATAATCACCAGAAAACTCAGCAGCTTGTCTCATTCATCGCATGATCTATTCAATGTGTTATAAAATATATTTCAGTCATCACGGGTGATAACAGACGTGTTTAACACCCTCAAAACACACATCTAACTTATGTTTGTGGGCTATTTCTCTTCCAAATGCCCTATTCTCATAGAATAACTGCGATGACAACAACCATTGCCTGAAGTCCATTTACAACCTTAAGATCTAAAACAACTCGCGAACAACAAAGCCTTGAGGCTCTAAAACACAAATAATAGTTTTTCCATGCGAAATAACTTAAAAAAGATGACTTATTTTGTTGATAACTTGTCAGGGCTATCAAGACAATTTTACACATTAATACGAACGCAATACAGCAAAATATTACTGTTTTCCGCTAAAGAAGTCTAAAAGTAGTCAAATGTAATATATTTTCACAAAACTTAACGAGTATAACGCTTCTATGGTCGTGAACGCGATAACCCATACAGAGCGCGAAAATATATCACGATAACGTTTATCATCACCCCGATCGAATCACTCGCGCCTTCAGGTTTCCCGCCAGTGGCGACCATCGCCAGTAAACAAACGTGCAGTGTGCGTAATCATTGACAGCATCTATCTAAGTGATTGAACAAATGCACGACAAGGCATCTGCTGCAGTGTTGTTCGCTCCGGATACATGGCGTAAGCCAGTCGTCGTGATTCTCTAGATGAATATTTATCTGAAGTTGAATTCGGAGAGTAAGCCAAGGGCTTGTGGTCAGTGAAAATTACAAATTCACCACCCTCCACTGGATGTCAAAAATGACGTATAGCACAGTACATTACCGGAAGTTCTATGCGGAATATGGCGTACTTTGTTTCTGCTAGTTGTAGATGCTTCATGAAAAGGACGCGTGGTTGCCATCCTCTGTTGACCGGCTCTTGCAGAACTGTGCAAAATGCAGTGTCTGATGCATCAACCGAGATACTTAACGGTGCCGTTGGATCACGATACATGAGAAGTTTGGCATCCGCGATGGCTGTTTTAAAATGAGTGAAGACATTTCGATCAGTCGCATCGAGCTTGATGGACATGTTATTCCCTAGAAGGTCTGTTAAAGGCTGAATTAGGAAAGAGAATAAACCGTCGGTAATAACTTGCCAAGCCCTTTGAAAGTGCGCAGACTTTTCACTGTCTGTGGCTATGGGAAGTTCAGTATCGCCTCAACTTTACTAACTAGTGGGCGAATACCCTTTCAGTCAATGGTGTGGCCCAGAAAGTCGAGTGAGTCAACGCGTATCTAGGACTTTTAAATAATAATGGGTACACCATGTATGCGTCACCTTTCGAATGCCAAGTCCAAGTGTCTAGGTTTATTATCTTGGCCGGCAATGGGGCAGTCGTCTGAGCATGCGTATACAAAGTCGAGACCACGAAATACTCCGCATCTTGGAGACCGAATGGTATATGTAGAAATTTCGGAAGTCCAAAAGACGTAATGATAGCCGTTTTCAGATTATCTTCGGATGCCATCGACATTTGGTTATACGCTTTAACCAAGTCTGTTTTCGAGAACATAGCTGCACAAGATAATGTTGCCACCAAGTAGTGTGTGTGAGGAAATGGATAGCAATCAGGGTCTGTTTTGGCGTTCACTCGCAGGTAATTACCAGTAGGTCGCCAATCGTTGCCATCTTTTTTCAGTACCGTATGCAGTGGGGATGCAAATGGGCTACTTGGTGGCTGAATGATGCCAAGTGTGAGCATATGGACGAACTCATTTCTAGTTAGTCTCAGTTTGTCAGGAGTAAGTCGTCGTGCTTTGGATTTCACGGGTTGTCCTGAGGTTATGATGTGATGCACAACATTGCTGATTATGTACGGTAGATCGTTAGACAGCATTTAATTTTTGGATATTTATCAACAGTCGGTCGGAAAATTGGATCAAATATTGCTTTCTTCTCAACTATGGCCTATTTAGTTAATGCTTTTAATAGAAAGTCTTGTAGTACCGCCTATCAGTCGTCTTCTGCAGGCATCCACGGGTAAATAACGGTGGTTGTGTAGGTCCATGTCAATGATAAGCGTTATGACGTCAGTGAGAGGGAAAATCCACTGAATAGGTTTGCGTGAACCCACGTTCAGATAGACGTAATTCCTTACAAAGGCTGCGGTCGGTCCTCCACTCGCAGTCTGTAGGTTGAAGGTAAGTTCCTTATGTCGATCTGCTGCTGTAGCAAGAAGGACGCTGACTTAGAGTAGGCACCCTGTCTGGTTGACTACATCATGGGTGCACAGTAGGCGACCAGTCCCACGGGCGATGGTTGCCGCCAATGCGTGCCGGCGAGAAAATTTCCCATAGTTTTCGAGACTGCCGAAATTACAAGGTTTTCGGCAACATATCGCTTCCTGGCTACAGGTATTGTAACACCAACACCAGTAGTGGTTTTTAAGTGAACGTGGCTTGGATTATGATTGCTGAGAGGAATTCGGATGACAATAGGAGGAACTACAAGGTATGTTTGACATTAGCGGCTGCTGGGGGTGTTGCATAACTCTATCACTGCAGTATCCCTACTCGAAGTCTGTTTGGCAACTGAGCATATTTCAGTAACTGGCCGTTTTGTTGTTTCTAGAATTTCACGGGCAGAGGCAGCTAAGTCGTCTATAATAACATCCTGAATTGTCACAAGCCCAGTCTGTACTGATTGTGGTAGTCTGCATAAGAACAGTTCTCTAAAACGTCCCTCATCGAACTGACGTTGGCCGATAGCTTCTCTCATTCTTGTTAGTATGCTTATAGCTGACTGGTAACCTAACTCGACGTTGCGAAATAGTTTATCATGCGCTGTCGATCCGTGAGGTCGTTTCTCCTTAAGAGGGTTGCTTTAAGCAACTCATTAGAGTTACTTACTTCTGAACACGACATATGCACATTTACGCATTTGCTCAATTCCCACAGAAGAGTGTGGACAACTACAAGGAAGTGTGAACTTTGGTCAGTTAACCCATGTTCACTGAAATCAGTCTCGGCTTTCTGAAACCACGATTATACATTATCTGGTCAAAATGGCACGAGCTGAATAGTTTTGTTTATTGACCGAATACAGATGTCCTTAAGAGTATGATCACTCACGGTGAAACATATATTTTAAAAATAGTACAAGAACATACACAAGGTGGAGAAAACTCACCAGATTTGTCTGCGTATTTACCATAGAGAGAGTTCGCGGTAGGGTTCACCAGTTTAGAGGCAAAGGGTGTTGACGTTCACGATAGTATGAAGTATACTAATGTAAGATCTAATACCCACAATTTCTATAGTATTCGTTCCGTGTAAACCAGAGGCGGAGCAAAACACCTGAATTGACCGCCCAAATTACGAATTATATTTTGGGACCGAGTCAGAGTGTGAGATGATTACTTAACTACCTAGGAATCGTGTATGAACAAACGAAAGTAACACGGCGGCGCGCCAAATGGCGTGGATGCTTGACGGGAAGCCTTCAGCCAAACAAATCGACTGAAACAGTGAGGGCCCGCCTCCAATGTTCAGTGATAGATGCTGTGACCAGTAATTCTCGGGAATTAATTATCGCTTCATACGCAGTTACCATCTAGTACTGGGGGTGAGTTATATATAAATGCCTTTGGTTTTTCTGGGGTCGTTATTATGTTATCGTACTTAGAACATCGAAGAAAAGTTATCGAACTCAGAATATTTAGGGGACATTTGGATATAAGTCCAAAAAATTAAGTTTACATAAGTTTTCGATGCACATTGTTGTTGTTTATGATGAATAAATTTCATAACCTTGAGCACGAACATTGTATATCATTTGTTGTTTGTATGCTCTGTTTGCTAATGTCTCCTGATCACTACAGCTGATTCTAGGACACAAGTAAGTTCCCGATACACTGGTTAGTAGATGGCGTACCAGTTGTTATCATTTTGAGTACACCCAACTAATTATACAAAATGTCTGATATAAATGATAAGCATTATTTCCCAGGCAAAGCATGATACTTCTAACTTATTAGTCACTTAGTACTAAATAAAGAAGTATAATAGTATACAGCTGTTTTACAATTATAAAACAGTATAGTGTCTTTGGTTTACTTTAAAGCAAACCAAAGATACCATTTCAGGATTCACAAGTTAGATCATTTATTTACATCAAATTCATAACAAATGATCTTCCAAGTCTTTGTTTTAAGATTTCAACTCTTCTTTGCTAATGATTAGTTCTAGAATGAAACAAAGTTATCATGAGGGTGTTTGGATTGATTTATGTTACATCTTATATATATATATATATATATAAATTCATGTACTCAATACCTGTTTGACTTAACATAAAAAATCTTTACGGTAGGTCATCAAACAGACGATCATTATTCAACCAGCATATAGCCAGATTAAAAATAGTTCTTTTCTCTTCCATGTGATAAGACTTCCGCGTACGCCGGTATTTTGCAGTGTTAAAAAACTGAGTGGTAGTTTTTTGTGGCTTACAACTAAGTAAGCAGTGAGTGGGTTGTCTTATTACATCAGGCTTCAGCACATGATATGTTTATTATTCGATAAACGTTTTTCTTCACGTGGGTATATATATATATATATATATATATATATATATATATATATATATATATATGTAACATGAAAATGGATAAACTTGCATCTTGGGAAGATACAGATTAAATCCTTTTAGGGATTGACACACAACACAGCTGATAATCTTTTTACATAAAGACTTGACAGAGTCGAACTCAAGATATGACATCACATATGCTCTCTGAATTGTGCACTCTTTTCCCTCATTGGTCCAGTAGATAACACTGTGATTGCTAAAACCGCAGGTGCGTAGTTCAAGTTTCAGTGGGAACTTCATAACTTTTTCAGGATGCACATACATCCAAAAAAGTAAAACTAAAACTTGACGCTTCAAACGTTTAGATAAATCAGGTCTACTGAAGTTCATTATTTAACACGTGGATTTCTGTGGCCTCTGAGGTTTGGAAGAGTTGTATTTGTACTAATTTGGCAAGATTTTGCCTGAACTAAGTAAGTAGCTCTGAAGTTTGCTCGGTGTCCAAAATCAATCAGTTGTCCCAGAATAAAGCTGCTTTGAGAGAGAGGAGGTAAACCTTTTCTCTGTAAAAACCAAGATTGTACAACTTGAGAGTTATATGGCTGAGAGGAGTAACCTTTCACTGAATACCTTTTCTCAGTGGGGACTTTTAAGCTGCTTAATATCATTTAATATGCATCGGTTCCTCCTGGCTTTATATGCTCAGTCATGCCACATTGGAGTCGCGGGTTCGCATCCTATGGTTGAACTTGAACAACGTTAAAACCGGTTAAAAGCAATGGAGATGTAGCTCATTGACTCGACTTTCAGCCGATAGGTCTCAACCTGCACTTAATTTAGTCTTAACAACTGGTTAGTATAACCAGTTTTTACACAGTAATAAGAGTGGTTCACATAGCCTGTTGCCTGAAGGAAATTCTCTTCTAAAATGTGTGGCGAAGTCTGTGCAAAGTCCTACGTTTATAATTCAGTTAACTCCAGAAGCTAAGTACAAATCAATTGGTTTCACAATGAGTCATTTATATTGTGAGAATCCAAGTGCTTAATTTATTTAACAATCACATCAAATGTCACAGCCTACACTATATGTACAATATGGAATAATGTAAAAACAATTATGTGGAATTATTTATTGATGACGTTTCAAGCACAATTTTGTCGCTCATATAAAGGCACTCGCATAAATTTCCAACCTTTTTATCTAGTCTCATTATTTCTTATCCTTTGATTTGATTGTTTGGATATTTTTGGTACCAGTGTCCTTCACTTCTATTGCAAGTGTTTAGTGTAGATTCGATAAATAAAGATGCAGCTAATCAAGGTCTTCTTCCACCTATGTTTTTTTAAAACTGTAACTCTGTTTCACTCTATTGTATGTGATTTTACGGTAGTTTATACATCGCAACTGCAGGATTTTTCTCTAAACTATTCATCTTCATTCGGTTAACCACTCTACACTTTACGAAATTTATGTTCCAGTAATCAAAATGATCCCGATCTACTGGTCTGACCCATGTAGTTGACCTCACAGTCATTGCGAGGCACTTTGTAAATTAAATTACATTATCTATTTGGGTCATTGGGATGCTTATCGCTTAGTGAGTTTGTAGGTTTAAATGTCATCCTGATTCCTGTTTTACTGAAAATCTTATGTAGGCCTTCAAATGCACCCTTCTTGTATCATAAAACTATAAATGCCCTGAATTCTTTCTTATGAATGCTATGGCTAATAGTTTTGCAACCGTTTTTACTTTTCTTGTGTGTTTTCTATACGGTGAAGATGTGACAATTAAATTTCAACCAATTGGTGTAGGATTAAAGTTCATTTTCTGTCTACTTCAAATTGGGCACTTTGGTGGGATTATTATTATTGTTCCTTGGTTTCCGATTGGAATATAGGGCTGTTCTCTTTAGTTCGGCCCATGACTTCCCATAGTTTCTCATCTCCTCTTCACACAATCTCCATGTCACATTTTTGGATGACCTACTCGCCATTTTCCATTTGGGTTCCACTTGAGGGTTTGGCGCGCAGTATCACTCGATGGTCTTCTCAGTGTGTGCCATATCCATCTCCACTTTACTTTATATACTTTTCAACCTTGGCTGGGCGTGGTGTACGCCTGTAACCTAGCTACTTGGAGGCCAGGGTGCGGAATTTCGTAGGATCGGGAGTTCTGGCATTAAACCTCACCTGGTTTACCAGCCTTCTATTTTTCTAGCCTGGGAAAAGAAGGAAAGCTTTGGGCTAGCGACCCAACCACGGGAAATCCGGCAAGTTACCACAGAAACAGTGCACGATAAAAGAAAGAAATGGAAGTGGTATTATTATTGTTACCAATTCGGGATGGATGAGGGTGTCAAAGCCAACTAGAGTCGGAAAGGCAAGATACCTTCGTCAATCTGAAATCAGTTTGGAAATCTTCTGCATTCAGCATAAAGAACAAGATCCGAATTTTTATTAATACAAATATGAAGTCAGTTCTTATATGTTAGTCAGAAACTCGACTAACACGTCACGAATAGCACTTCCAACAGGCTACTACAGACTTTTATCAACCAATGGCTGGCGCCATATTGAAAATCAGATAGTTGGCCAGGAAGCATTGACAACAAGCAACTCTGGAAACAAACTAACCAATAGCCTATCGTTCAACAAATAATTAGGAGAGAATGCAGATGGATTGGGCATACTTTGAGGGGACCGTCGAATCATATCGCGCTCACTGCCATCGCTTGAGTGGAATCCAAATGGGAAACGACGAGTGGGTCGTCAGTGCGAGGGTGACATTGGAGGAGATCGTGGGGTGAGGGCCCAGCTAAGGAGGCCACCAGAAAATAGAACAAATTAGAGAGGTGTTGCTGAAGCCTTATTTTTGCCCTCGGAATCCAAAAGAATAATAATAGTAAATAGTGCTCTTCATGACAGCCTTAAGTATTATAGTATTCGTAACAACAGTCAACAATCTCTCTAACTAACATTTTTGAAGATGGTATCTACTCTTGTGTTTGAATGAGAGAAAAAAGTTTTCAAATTGCACCTCCATTTTGTAAATTGTTGATTATTCAACGTTTTATTTTTTTTTTAATTTTTAGATTTTTACAATTTTGAAGTATTATGTCATCATATTATTACTATAAATAATAATCATAATATTAATTCAAAACATCTGGATGGTAATTGCATTGAAAATAGTTTTGGACAAAAGTATTGTAAATTATTACAACACACTTGGATTTGAAATGAACCTCTTGTGATAGATTTTAATCAACTGTATAAACAAATTGTAAGTATTTATTTATTTATTATTTTAATACTTACTTACTCCAAGTTGTTTATTTGTTTACTTTGAATTCAATGTGAAAATTAAATTTATACCCTGAATTGGGTAGATACCTCACCACTTAAGTTCTGCCACTCTTGTTAGCTAGCTGGTGGTATCATATATTGGTCAATAATATTATTTATGGTTGTGGGTGTTAGGCTTAGAATGTTATGTAATAAGAGGGAAAGTCATTCGTATGAAATTGTCAAATTGCATTGATTGTGAGATGAAATGGTGGTTAGCATGGAATATGTGTTGCTTATGCCAAGGCATTACCTTCTTCGTCAAGCAATGTTAACTCATATCGGGTGGTTTATGGCGATGATGATGATGTTGGGATGCGCTGTATGAGTAGTTGGGTGGTTTGACTGCGAAGCTTTCATCGTTCTTCTAGATAAGAACACCTTAGTAATAATGATTTGTTTTATTCCAAAACAGTATTTATGATGATAGAGCATGTAATTCTCAGCATTTGGTACAATATGCCATCTAACTTAGCCTTCGTAAAATGATGATAGTAATGCTAATAGTTAAAAATTATTAGGTAATTGAAATTGTGTCACCATAAATTACAAATAGGAGGAGATAAAAGATCCATTAATTCGGCTAATTACACAGTAAGTCATCAGTTTCACGCTTAACACACACACTATCTCTCTATCACATAGAATGCTGTCCAAATAGGTTATACTTTGAATTTTGGTACTTAGTTGTGCAAGTGAGCGTATAATCTTTTACAATGACTTATAGTCCTACCTGATGAAATGCAAGGAGGAGAGAGTTACTGAGAGTCAAGAAATATGGATGCAGTCCATCCATTTCTCTCATAAGTTCAGATATCTGTTGACTATAATAGTAATGAGCTGGCCGATTTAATTGTACACCAATTTTCTCTACTGACAACTTTTGATACCCTTCTCAATACCATCACAATGTTCCTTTTTGAGTGTCCCAGGAAAGACTAAGGGGGTAAAGATGCAAGAGTTAACAAATTGTAAAAGTAGAGGTTGAGTGATACCTACTTGGTTATCTCCACTTCTTAAAGTAGTAGATTAAACGGGACATTTTCTTAGAAAGGTTAGAAGATAAAACTATTCTAATGTATATAATGCTTGATCTAGTTTCTAGTTCAGTGTCCTGTTTGCTACAAGCAAGCATCATGTGAACGGAACATTTCGTTTAGATCATGTTTATGCTTAAAGATGGAGTTAACCATCTGAAATTTAGAGGGACTTAACGTTAGACGAAAATTCAGTATGAAGTGAACTTGTGTGAATTCTCCATACATGTGGTATAATAGTTGTTACGAAGGTGATTGAGTCTTAGAACGATGAGTGATGCTTGAATCTTGAAAAGACGAATGAACCAAGAATTTAGGCTTTATTCATTTTACAATGAAGCCGGAATGGCTTAAACATATAAAGGAAAAAAAGAGTGTTAATAGCGGTAGAGATATGAATATGACTAGATACGTATTATAAGAAAAGTTCACAACATTCACTGCGGCTTGAAAAGGAATGAGCCATTATGTCACGCTTCTCTGGTACGCAAATTGTAAGGCCGTACACGTTGTTGTTTTTCCAAAAGAATACGCCCGTTGTTCGTTTCAGTTGTATTTTCTTCACGAAGAATATTAGGATCAGTGGTCGCATCCCCATTTACTTGTTGCTCAGGAATTGCGTCGCCCTCCGGTATTGAATTTTCAACTTGATCTATATCTTCGCCTTTGGGTGCCAGATGATGAAGAGCAACTGTATCTTCACGTCCATTACCGAAGCGAACGTGAGCGAATTGCGGGTTACAATTCAATAGCTCCACCTCTTCAACCAGGGGATCGAATTTGGACTGACGAACACTCCGCCGGAGAAGTACTGGTCCTGGTACAGTGAGCCAAGTAGGAAGAGTTGTCCCAGATGTCGATCTTCGGTTATAGGTAAACAGTCGTTCGTGTGGCGTGGCGTTCGTTGCAGTACAGAGCAAAGATCTGATGGAATGCAAGGCGTCGAGTAGAACAGACTCCCATTGTGCCGTTGGTAGGCCCCGTGATCTTAATGCTAGAGTGATGGCACGCCAAAGTGTTCCATTGAGGCGCTCGACCTGCCCATTGGCTTGAGGATTGTATGAGGTAGTACGACTGGTTGCTACGCCTTTCTCCAGAAGAAATGCCCGTAATTCGGTAGACATGAAAGCAGCGCCTCTGTCGGTATGTATGTAAGAAGGCATACCGAAAATCGAAAACAGTTGGCAAAGGCAATTCATTACCGTTTGAGACGACATGTCGGGGCAGGCGAATGCAAAGGGGAATCGAGAATATTCATCGATCAGCGTGAGCAGATAGTGATTGCGGCTAGCTGACGGTAGAGGTCCTTTAAAGTCGATGCTTAACCTTTCAAAAGGTTGGGTTGCTTTTATGAGTTTGAAATTAGAGGGATTGTAAAATTGAGGCTTTAACTCACAGCATGTCACGCATTTACTGGTTACATTGCGCACCTCGTCAAGGGAGAATGGAAGGTTTCTCGAGCGTACAAAATGCATCATTCGGACAACTCCAGGATGGCACATAGAGTCATGGAGAAATTTCAAGTCGCACACTGACTGCAAGGAACCGCAGAAACTACGGGAAAATGTATCAGCAGCTTGATTATCCCTTCCAGGACGATAAATGATGTCATATTGATAAGGGGATAGCTCAATTCTCCAACGCATTATTTTATCGTTCTTGATTTTGCCTTTATGAATCTTGTCAAACATGAATGCTACTGAACGTTGATCAGTGACAAGTTTGAAGTGATTTCCGAGAAGGTAATGCTTCCACTTACGAATTGCTTCAACCACGGCATAGGCTTCTTTCTCAACCGATGAATGATGTTTCTCACTTCGAGAGAGGCTTCGAGAAAAGAAGGCGACAGGTTTACCATTCTGGTTTAATGTAGCTGCAATTGAGACATCTGAAGCATCTGTTTCAACAACAAGGGGTGCTTTCGGATCAACTACCACAACGACTGCACGTTCTAAGTCGTCTTTCAGTTTGTCAAAAGCATTTCGAGTTTCGATATCAAGAGGGAAAATCCGATTATTTACCAATGGGTGGATTTTATCTGAGAAGCGAGGGATCCACTGTGAATAATAAGCAAATAATCCAACGGCCCGTTGTTGAGATTTGATATCTGTGGGTGGTTCTAGATCACGAAGAGGTTTTAGCCGATCGGGATCTGGTTTAATAACCCCCTTTGAAACTTCATAACCGAGTAATTGTATGCTTCTGCTTGAGATCACACTTTTGGAATCATTAAGGGTTATTCCATAATTGCGTGCTGCTACCATAAACTTGTTTAGATTTTTGTCGTGTTCCTCCTGAGTTTTGCCGCAGATAGTGACATTGTCAATGTAGGCAAACGTGCTTGTGAGTTGTTCTTTACTGATCAATTCATCGATAATGCGTTGAAAACAAGCTACGCCATTGGTAACACCAAAAGGAATTCGGCAAAATTGGTAAAGTTTCCCACAAGCCTCGAAAGCAGTATATGGTTTATCTTCGTTCCTTAGGGCAATTTGATGATAAGCATTCTTCAGATCAAGAGTGCTGAATATGTCATATTGTGCGATTTTTTCTATCATTTCGTCAATCCTAGGTAATGGGTAAGCATCCAGAAAAGTGAATCGATTGATTGTCTGACTATAATCAACTACCATCCTCTTTTTATGGCGTTCGTTTGACGTAACAAGAACTTGAGCTCGCCAAGGAGAATTAGAAGGTTCAATAACACCTTCTTGCAGTAACCGGTTGACTTCGGTGGAAATAAAACTTTCATCTTCACGAGAATAACGCCGGGATTTTATCGCGATCGGTTTACAGTCTTTTGAAAGATTTTCAAACAGGGTAGGCAGGTCGACGCGAACACAAGGTAGACCACAGAGAGAAAAAGGCGGCTTTGATCCCCCAAAAGGAATCTCAATGTGTTTGTGAAGTTTTAAAAAATCATGTCCAAGAAGGACGTCTGCACATAAATTATGAAGAATGGAAAATTTGAATAGATCATAAGTGTGGTTTTTATAGCAGATGGATAGAAGACAATGTCCTTCAGTATGACTAGTAAGATTCGTACTCGCCATTGTGATTCTGTTTCGAGACTTATGGACTTTCCAGTTATACTTACGAACAACTGAGGAAGAGATGTAGCTCTCACTGCTTCCGGTATCCACTAGAGCTTGCATTGATTTCCCATTGACAGTAAGCTGCGTAACAGCATCAGTGAGACTTTGAGGTGCTGAAGCCACAACGAGAGATGAAATTATAGAGTTAACTGAAGATGGACCTTTTTTCGTAGATGGCGCAGACCTGCAAACCTTCTGAAAATGTCCTTGCTTGCCACAAGCTTTGCAAACTGCATCACGGGCGGGGCATTTGGAACGAGGATGTCTACGATTACCACAGAAAAAGCATTTGGATTCAACGGCAGCAATGGTTGTTTCATTGACGGAGGGTGTGGAATCTGATGAATGAGGTACATCATGTAAAGAAATGGACGCGCAAGGTGTAACAGGATTGTTGTATGACTGCGATTGTTGATGTGCCATCTCTAGAGCTCGTGCTTGATCGTATGCCGCTTGAAAAGTTAAAGTACGCTGTTCTAATAGCCTCTGGCGTATCATCGAAGACTGTATACCTGAGATGAATGAATCACGTAGAGATTCGTTACGATGTTCTTCGGCTGTAACTGCCCTGAATGAACAATCTGTAGTCAGCGACTTGAGTCGACGAACAAACTGATCCAGATTTTCGCCAGATTCTTGTTTACACGTTGCTAACAAGTGTCGAGCAAACACTTCGTTGCAAGGCTGCATGTAGAGACTCTTGAGAGTGTCGATAGCTTCTTCGTATGTTTTGCATTCAGAAATGCATTCGTATACAGAAGTAGAAATATGATTGAAGAGAATATGTAGTTTCGAAGGATTTTCGGATCCCATTGATTCAATGAAGTAGGAAAAAGTCGCAAACCAGTGATCCCACTTCTTGGCAGCTCCAACTGCGTTAGGTTCTACGTCGAACCGATCAGGTCGGAAAAATCGTTCCATGAATATTGTAAAATGAATAAATTGTTACGAAGGTGATTGAGTCTTAGAACGATGAGTGATGCTTGAATCTTGAAAAGACGAATGAACCAAGAATTTAGGCTTTATTCATTTTACAATGAAGCCGGAATGGCTTAAACATATAAAGGAAAAAAAGAGTGTTAATAGCGGTAGAGATATGAATATGACTAGATACGTATTATAAGAAAAGTTCACAACAATAGCATCATCTGACAATCTTTGTCGTGATTGGTTGTTGGTTTCCGTCAGTATTGATCGTTTTTATTCATGTAAAATTCGACTTTTTCATCATATGACTTATTCTTTATTATTCGTTACATTTGATGTATAATAACGTGTTTGGTAATCGCTGAGTACCAGGCTTCTAAAGGTTCCATGGTGGTTTTAGTGCTTCCAGTGTTTAATATTTCTACATTTCCACCAGTCAAACTGCCGTCCATAATTGTCTACAGGGATGGTCATGTCTTTTCACAGTCAGTTTATATGTTTTCGCAAACTCGGAGGCGCCCACTTTGATCAGTATATTTCTTTATAATTATAATGTGATTTATTTTTAGGTAGTTTTGATTTTATCTTCTTTCGCTGTTGGATGGGTCTTATAATCTACAAAGTATTAAATGAAGGCATTGTGTTGTGCGACATCTATTTAGCGTTGTTTTAGGAGTGGTCAAAACCAAAGTCCTGCTATTAGTATATAAAGTCTTTGATTTTTAGTTTAAGCCACGTAGAAAGCTAGGTGTGCACTAATTGATTAAAGCCCCCGAGATTCTAAGAACACCAATAACTTAAAACATCGAGTGATATGGCTCAAAGTCGTCCTCAATACCACAGGGATGCATTCACTTTGTGTATTCACTCAAATCCTATGAATCTTTGCTATTCTCCCGTACATTTATACTTATTATGTAGTTCTTTTGAGTTTTATTCTTTTTCTATACCTTTGTGTGTTATATATGCAGTCTATGTGAAGTAGAACTACTGGATTTCTGTGCAAAGTTTTATGTTGAAATTCAAGTGTTGGTTTTTAGGTGGTTTGATTGATTGGTTACAGGATTTCATCATGAGCTGACAACGGTTAGACAACTATTGGAAAACCTAGGATTACCAGGCAGCCGTTTCGTTATAGTTTGAGACTTTTCAACGGCACGCACCCACCTGGATTCGAACCCAGGGCGGCTCAGTTACAAGGTGAGCTCGTAGACCACTAAGCCACTGGAACCCGATCCACTGAACAGCCCCATGAATTCTAACCTCTGCTAATTCACGACATAGCGCGACCACCAGCCAGTGTCATCTCTGGAGAGTATTTGTCCTCATGCCCGACCTGCTGCGTACCCTACTGGCCACGACTTCCCACTAAAACCCCAGGTAACTACTCACCTTAATAAGGTCAGTCGCTAGTGAGCATCTCATTGATATTCAAGTATTGGTTTGTAGGGATTTGACTGATTGGTTACAGGATTTTATCATAAGCTGATATCGATTAGAGAATCATTGGAACCATTGAAACTTAGCCAGTCAGTCAGCTTTTATTCAAGTCACTATTATTATTCTTCTTTTTGGAAATATTCAAGTTGTCTGTCTGTGCCGTATGTGTATTTTGTTCAATACTCTATTGATCACTTGTTTTTCTGCCTAGACAAATTAGTCTAGCACTAAATTCTAAATCCTATAAATGCGTATAAATTATTTTTATTACATCTGTTATTATTATTATTGCTTTTCAGTTATCATCATCATGTACGTCTTTTTGATGGATCAAGGTCGTCTTGTCTCTCTAGACGACAATTTGTTATCTCAAACGTAAGTTAAAAAAGAAAAAGAGAAAAAAGTATCAAATTTTTACAGTTTTGTTTCGTTTCTGTAAAAAGAATATATTATATAAAAAAACAACCGTTTATGCATAATTTTTCTATGCCAGTTAATGATGAGGCATTTTGTGGCATTTTTATTATTGTCCAGATGCCATTGGATTTTGAACCCAACTGGATATCGGACAATTTACCTGGTATGACTTTATCGTTTGAAGCAATACTTGGCTGATGTAATCGCTATCCAGACAACCTTTCTAGCATAGTAATACTTTCAGGAGCATTAGTTCTAGTCAATGTAGCTAGCTGTATGGGTGATTTGCAATATGCAATCCCCCCCCGTCACCGTATCTAGGTAGCAATCTATCGATCAGGAACTGGACAGATGTGTTGAAGATACTTCTTTCATTTATCTAGACAGCATCGTTTCAACTATAAAGGCTGTGGCACGCGGATTAAGATGTCAAAACTCACCAGAATCAGAAAAGTAAGATAGGTGTGTTCATTACTCAGAAGCTAATTTAGAAATATGCTGCACTCGGTTTCAAGAGATGAGATCCAAATTTTGTTCAACAGTAATGTCAATTTAGTCAATGCTTCTGTAGAATCTGAAAGACTTGGTGTGTCATAATGGAAAGCATTTCCACAGACTGCAGACTTCTATCAACAACTGTCTCCTTCGCTTTATGCTGTGAAAGTCAGACAGTCAGTTGGAGACGATAACCAAGGAGGAACTCGGACAACAAACCAACCAAGAAGCTATCACCCAACAAATATGCTGGGGTAAATGGCAAACGGATTGAACATACGCTAAGGAGACAGTTGAATGTCATCAAACATTAAGTTGACCCTCAAGTGGGGAAGCTAAATGAGATTTGATGAGCTGGGTATCGGTCCCACAGGTGATATGGTTGTGATTGTGCACAGAGGAAATGAAAACTTATTGACAGTAAGAATACAGAAAGCAGGGTGAACGGAAAGTGTGCTGCTGTGATGCTTTATGTTCTTCTACTTGAAACCCAAGGAAATAATAGCAGTTCTCTCAGTTTGTGTTTTTGTAATGACATGACACATATCTGTGTTCGACAGCTGTGCTCACCCTGAAGAAGCTTGGAAGAATATCCAGGCAGCCATAGATACAGCTGTAAAAGCTGTGAATAAGGTAAACCCAAAGGTGAGTAAAACCACTGGATCTCCACCGCCTCATCCGAACTGAAGACTTATTCGGGCGAGCTCCGAATTCAATGAGGAGCGAAAGCTGCACAAGAGGAAACTTACGAAAAGTCTCCACAAGGACCGTGAACAGTGGTGGGTGACAAAGGCGAAAGAGATGGAGAAAGCTTCGAGGATAGGCAACACCAGGCAACTATTTAGACTCATCAGGGAAACGGGTGGGAGAAGACAAATCATTAGTGAAACAATCTCGGAAAAAATGACACTATAATTAGCTCCCAGGATAGACCACTGGATCGCTAGAAAGAGCATTATGAGGGGCAGTTTAATTGGCCCACAGCCACTCTCAAGCTTCCGAACATCCAACACCTCCCTGAATGGGATATACACACAGCTCCTCCATCCCTAATTGAGGTTACTAAAGCTGTCACCCATCTGAAACTAGGCAAAGCAGCGAGACCTGATGGAATGACTCCAAAGATATTTAAGTACGATGGAGACAGTTTACTGTCTGCGTTAACTGAGGTACTAGGCAGCGTCTGGGAATCAGAAGTCCCATCGGGTTGGTGTAAGTCACTGATTATCCCCATATACAAGAAGGGAGACAAGTCTTCCTGTGATAATCACAGAGGGATTAGCTTGACTAATATCGTATCTAAAGTCTTAGGCTCAATAATCATGCGTAGACTGAGTGGTGCTCGGGAAGCACAAACACGAGAGAGCCAGGCAGGCTTTAGACCAGGAAGAGGGTGTATTGATCATATCTTCACCCTCCGACAGATTCTAGAACATAGGCACTCCTACCGGCGTCCAACAATCATTATATTTCTTGACCTAAAGGCAGCATTCGACTCTGTCGATCGGGAAGTTCTCTGGAGATGCTTGGCTGTAAAGGGAATCCCGAGAAAATATATTGCACTGATTAAGGCACTCTACTCGTACTCATACAGCCAGGTGAGGGCTTACGGCGAGTTGTCATCTGAACTGGTGACGACTAGTAGTGTCCGTCAAGGATGCCCATTATCCCCTTTTCTATTCAACTTCATCATAGATGTACTAATGGACTTAACCCTAAGTGACTTCAGCGACTCAGGGATTGACTTGCTACCAGGGAATAATCTCGTTGACTTAGAATATGCAGACGATATAGTCCTTCTAGGCGAAGACGCTGACAAAATGCAGAGTCTTCTAAACAACTTGAGCTGCAATCTACGAGTGTTTAGCATGCGATTCGCTCCCGCCAAATGCAAGATGATATTACAGGACTGGACTACACTGACTCCTAGATTAGAAATAGGGAGTGAAGTAGTAGACCATGTTGACCCATTCACTTACTTGGGAAGTACCATCAGCCCCAACGGGCTGATCTCTGACGAAATCTCAGCACGAATATAGGGGGCTCGTTTCGCATTTGCCGGTTTACGCCGTCTCCGGCGTAGACGAGATGTTCGACTATCGACCAAAGGGCGGGTGTACTGCTCATCAGTCCGCTCCGTCGTCCTTTATGGTTGTGAGACTTGGCCACTGAGAGTGGAAGACATGAAAAGACTAGCTGTCTTTGACCATAGGTGCCTGGATTCTATTTCCCGTGTGAAGTGGCATAACAAGGTGAGCAATATAGAGGTTAGGCTCGGTCGAGTTCTAGGTAAACAGGGGAAATCAATCGACGAGGCTGTGAAGCACTGCATCGACTGAGATGGTTAGGACATGTGTTACGAATGCCAAGTCATCGTCTCCCTCGACGAGCAATGTTAGTGGATATAGGGTCAGGCTGGAAGAAAGCTAGCGGCGGTCAAACAAAAACATGGCCTCACCAGTCAATGAAATCCACAACAGTTGGTCTAAGCCACTTAGGAAGGTGTAGACTTCCTGACTGGTTGGGGTCCTCGGGACGGTAAAAATCTATGGTTGGAAACAATTGGTGACATGGCTCAAAACCGTTCTCAGTGGCCAGTGCAGATGCATCCACTCCCTGTGACTTATGATTTCCAATGAGACTGTTTTGTTCTTCGTTATTACTCTTCCTTTGTCTCACACCTCTGTTTACTGTCTCTATTATGCATTTCTTGTACTTTCTTCTATTGCTTTGTGTGCTACATGGAGGGAGTGTGGCGACTTGAACTGGTGCACATATGTGCAAAGTTCTATGTCGAAAACAGACAGACATTATTGGTTTTGTAGGGATTTTGTGTTTGGTTGCATAGAGGATTTCATCATGAGTTGACATCAGTTAGAGAACCACCATATGACCTTCTGGTTACAAGGCGAGTTCGTAGACCATTGATCCACTGGGAGCCGATCCAATGGTCCTGGGTTCGAACCCCGGTGGGTGCGTACTGATGAAGAGTCCCAAACTAAGACGGAACAGCTGCCGGGTACTCCCAGGTTTTCCAGTGGCTCTCTAACTGATGTCAACTCATGATGAAATCCTCCATGCTATTTAGTTGCTACGATAGAAATGACCACTTGTAAGGTCATCACCATCCTAATTGAACCTCAGTTCACATTTCCTTTAGCTTATGGACATATGAAGAAAGATGGAAAAGTAATTGTTATTTTTTCTTGTTGTCTATCTGGCTGTCTGAAAGTTGATCTCTATCTCAAATCTAGTTAACCAAAATAAAACGTCATACTTACGTGAATATATTTTCCATTGGCATTTTAATACTGATTTTAACCTGTCTATCCATCCATCCTGTAATGGCTTCTTTTCGTAACATACATATCAATCGGCTTAGTTGGTTGGTTGGCTTACGTCACATGATTTCGTGTGTCTGTGCTTCCGTGTGCATGTCTGTGTTGTCACATGTTTCTATACATATTTATATATACGCATATATTTAAGGTACCACAAGTACGCCCTCAGTCGAAGGACCTTAGTTAATGAACGGTCAGCGTGTGTGTATATATATATATTGGTATTGACGTAGATATAGGCGTAAACGGAGAAAAGTTAATGTCCAAATTCTAGTCGATCACATGGCCTTTTTAAAGTAAAATTCTCGACAATCATAATGATAATGATAATAATTTGCATTTGTATTAAGTATATGCGCATAGATAACATCAGTTTTTTTTCAGTGGCTAAATACGCTAGGCAGGCATCCATTTTCCTATTTTCATTTTAAGTCGTAGTAGCTAGTGGAACACACTCATACTGTAAAAGAATATTTAAGGAGAGATTAAATATAGCCTACAGAAGTGGCAAAAATTTCTCTATGGGACGTGACCGTTGTAAATGGAAGATATGAGAATAGGCTAGTTGTCTTCGCCCCTAAATGTTAACATTCCATTTCTTGTTTTGATTTTGGTTTTCCCTTCACATTCCCAGTGGAACATAGGGCCTCAAGCTAGTGGCTTGAAGTTTCTGTAGCAGTGTTTAATTTTACAGGATGAGGTTGCTAGCCTTATGCCCAACCTTTCCTCTTTACCAGCATTATTTCTGGCTTAGAGAGGTAAAGGAGTGCGTCTGTGGCCGGGGATCGAACCCCGGACCATGTACATGGTCGGCGAGTGTCTTAACCTCTGTGCCACAGACGCACTGATGGTATAATATTAATATGGTGTGCAATAATGAGGTTTAGGCGTAGTGTGTTCCCTAGGAAAGTCAAGCCAAAAATCAATGAGGTTGTAAAGCTACGCCGATTGTGAGAGGTGGTTAGGACACATGTTGCATGTGCTGAGCCACCTACCACCTTTCTCACTGACAAATGTTACCTGATATAAGATGAAGTTGGAAAAGTGTCATGCGTAGACAAATCAAAAGTGCTGGCATCAATCCATGAAGTCTTTGAGTGTTCATCATTAGAGCCAGTTAGGAAGGCGTGAACTGAACTACCACTAATGTGAATGTAGAATTTCGGCACTGTGGTAGAATATAATCCCTTGTTACATAAGTTTATTTCAAAAATCATACAATGTATAAATTATTGCTGCTCATAATTATATCAATTCAGTCACACAACTTCGTGATTTGCCTCGTTTTCTAACTCCAAAAGTGATTTGAATTTCGTCTACTATTGACTTTGTATTTGTTGTGAAGACCTGGGGCAATTTATTCATTCATACGTCTAATCAATTTGCTATTTCATGTTTATAGACTAAGTTGGGAAGCTGTATCATCCCCTTGATATGATTATGAGCAATAACTTGGTCGGAATCCAATTCACTTTTGGGTTAGAAGTCGAACAAGTTGAGTTGGCCACGTTGGACTGTAGAATAAAACAAAAACAAGATGGTGGGAGGTTAGATATTAGCATTTATGAGAAACCGACACACTACAATAAATACTTGAACTTTAATTCATACTATCCAGAATCAGTGAAGATAAGTTTAGTTGAATGTTTATATTATCGGACCAGAACCCTAACTAATAAACCAGGAGATTTAAATAATGAAATCAAACACATAAAGAAAATATTACTAGTGAATAACTACCCAACAGAATTCATTCAGAAATGTTATGAAGAACTATAGAAAAAAATAAGATTGGTAATGACAATGACAAAAATAATATGGAATTCAAAGTCTCTGTAGGACTGTCCCCGTATAAAGTAGGAACATCGTCAGACGCCTTACGTAGGATTCTCAATGAGTCTTGAATTAGATCGGGTGGCAATAAAACTAACCAACCAACTCTTTCAGAGATAATCTTTGTCGGCTTAAGGACCCAAAAGATCCAATTAAGTATAGTATATAGTATAATTTACAATATACCATGTGATGAATGTGAGATCAATTACATAGGTCAAACTAGTAAGTAGATCACGGTCAACTAGATTATTAGAACATAAAAATTTAGCTAGACTTAGAATAATTGAGCCTACTAAGTTAAATAACCTAGAAAAAACCTCAGCCATTGCACTGCATTCATTTGCATGTGATCAAAAAGTAGAGTGGGACTAGGCGAAAGTATTTAAAAGTAATTTAGTTGGGTGGAGAGAGAGAGAGAAGTTAATCACTGCAGCTTTGTTCATCGGTTCAAAACTGCGCACATGCAGTCGAAATGACTCAACGCTTATACCGTAGATGCGAAAAGTTGCAAGGAACAACAAACGGGGGGGAGAGAGAGAGAGAAAGAGAAGGGAAACCGTGAAGCCGTGTTACTAAATTGATATAATTTTATGAGCAATAATTTGTGCACGGAACGTTATCCAGATACTGACTACAGCCGTTTCGTCCGTGCTTGGGACTCTCCATCAGCAGTAACCATCAATCCCTTCAGGTTATAGGGTGAGCTTGTTGACCATTCAGGCACTGGGATGAAATACATTGGCCTGTCGGCTAATACTGACTCCTGCCATTTCGCGATACAGCGTGTTTGCCAGCCAGTGAGGTCGTGTGCACTACTGATGAAGAGTCCCTAATGGGGACGAAGCAGTCTGCAAGCATTCCTTGGTGATTTTCACTGGGTTTTTTTTACTGAGGTCAATTCTCTATATCATAATTGTGAAATCACTCACTCCATTTCGTGCAAACCAACTCTTGAAAAATCAATTCTTTGTAAAATCGTTGGTTTATTGTTCTGTAACAAGATTTCTTTATGTGTGTTAAAGTTTGCGAGTTAAAATATAAGATGGAAAAAAAACATCACTGTTAAAATTATGTTTTTAATTTTTTCTAAATTTTAATGGAATCCCATTCAATCCTAGATAAAATGTTGCGTGTTTTGCTGTCTCTATTTAGAAATAGAGAAACCTCTTTAATTGCCACTGTCACAAGATGTGTTTAGTAGACACCTCAACTTATTAAAATATAAACAACCCTATTGATATATACATATGGCTAAGTGTGTGTGTGTGTGTGTGACGTAGTCTTGAAGAATTAGTAGACATTGATCATATTACTACACGCATAGGCGGGACGGGGCGTTGTGGTGATGATTTCAAGTAAAATGTGGATGATTACTTATCATAGCACACGGGTTAGGGGTTGATAAATCTAATTGACAACCTCCAGATTTAAAAAAGTTTGACATCCCATTAATGATACACTTAAGAAGCATTTAAACTGGCATTTTACATATTTTCTATAACAGATCCAGGTTTAATAATAAAGTCGTGACGAGTGGGTACAGCATGTCTCAGGTGTGAGGATAAATACTTGCCAAATACTCGGCTACTGGTTACACCATATAGTTAAACGGCAGAAGGTAGAGTTCATGGGCAATTGTATCGGGTCCCAGTGGCTGAATGGTCTACGGGCTCTCCTTGTAACCGGGAGGTCCTGGGTTCGACCCCTAGCGGTGGGTGTATGATGGTGAAAAGTCCCAAACAAGGCCGAAACAGCTGTTCATTACTCCCAGTTTTCGAATGGTTCTCTAGCCTATATCAGCTCACGATGAAATCCCCTACCCGAATAATAGATGGTTGGAGAATAAATGAAAGCGCACTTATCGTTTGGATCCTACTGAAGAATTGTTTGACTTTATAAGATTTTCGTCACGAACCAACATCAGTTAGAGAACAAAATGAAAACCAGCACTCGATGGCTGTTTCACCATATCTTGGGACTCCTCAGTGGTAAGTACTCACTACCCAGCAGGAATCGAACCCGCGGTTGGCCTCCTAACCTGAAAGACCCTACTTCAACCCCTGGATCCAAAGTCTCCCAGATCCTATAATCTGAATGGATAGGGTTCTGTCTGGGCTAGTAATTCCAACTGACTGACTGACTGTCTCAGTTTCAACATAGAATTTTGCACAGAAGTGCTGCAGTTCGTCACACTCTATATAGCATACACAGAAAAAAATATATAAAAACTTAACTCCAAAATAACCATGATGAATAGAATCGTATGGAAAGAGGGATAATCTCATGAAGGATAATTTAATGCATCTGAGCAACTGCGAACGACTTTGCGGAACATCACCAACAGTCCGAAGTTATACTGGTTGTTATTGTCCTCGGGACTCCAACCAAGTAATCTATACCTCCCTAGGTGACTCAAAACATCCGTCAAAGTCATCATTAACTGATAGCATATTTTGATATGACCATGCCCAACTCTTTTCCAGCATAACCCAATATTAGGTAGCACTGATCACTAAGGAAGGCGATGTCTCGGCTATCTCAATCGATAGTAGCTTAAAGGTTAATCTAAACTCGATATAACTCATCATAACCAGCCCAGACAACTGGTTTGATATTATCGGTTTTCACACAAAAGTAGTAGCTCAAAGCCTAGCTACATGGAAAATCTCTTCTAAGACAGTTAGTTTATAACCAACTATTTAACTAGACAATATAGCTGTCTATTCCCAGTGTAATAATAAAAATATATTTTTTTTTCGAGTGTGAGGTGTAGTCAATAGTTTAACCACATGATTGTTACTAATACTGTCCATGTTATATACCACTTTCCTGTGGTCTTCAATGCTTTCTATAGACAGTTGAGTACACTTTCAAAAATGTTAGCCTTTATTATAATAATCTTATCATTCATTGTCTCCATGCTTACTTGTTAATTTCATCGAAAGAGGTCATATCAACCGACTGACTTCCAGAAGTCTTTTCATCAGCCGGTTCCCTCTACTTTCGTATTGAACTGTCTTCCCGACTCCACTGATGAATAAGTTTGTTTTATGTTTCTCTAGCAATGGGAATTCTTTCCAGGTTGGGGTGCCTAGCTGCACATCTAATTTTTCCCCCTCCCTATTTACGGACTTATGACCGGCTAGTAAAGTGGTGGGGGGGGGAGATTATTTTGACTGGACTCCAACTAGTGTCGTGTATCCAGTCCTTTGCTTGGTGCAGACTAAATTCCATCAGTCAAGTTTGGTATGTGGCCACCATGTTAGAGTGGCTCGTCATCACGGTACACACTGGATAATCGGGGGCAATCGACAATAAACCCTACCAGACCTAGGTTTCGTGCTGGCGCTCAACAGTGAGCAAGACATATATACAATCTTCAAGGAACTCTGCAGTGAGAGACGTTACTGCTGAGCTATCTGGGGTGACGATTAACTTCCTGTGGGGCTGTATTGGAGACTTTAATTGGACACTAACTAACTAGTGTCATGCGTCTATTATTTTGTGTTGGTGCAGACTTAATTCTATCGAGTCAAGTTGAGCATAGTTCTATGCTAAAATTGATATATGTTATTCATTGATTCCTTTATTTCTTTCATTTTCAGGGTTTCAAGTTTACGTAATGTATTAGCGCATGATTTCGATCTACCATTGAATAAACAAATTCTCTTGGTATCAGGTGGTTTTCAATTGGAACCAGGTGATAAATTGTCAACATATGGAGCTGGTCTAGTAAGTTCGATTAGACATATCTCTGAATTTATGATGTATACAGGTATATCATTACTTTTATTCTTAATGAAACTTGATGCCTATTTAAAGAAAAAAATATGAATATCATTTCTGTATGTCTTTATTTCCTTTTAACATGTATACCGATTAGTGCGATGTGGTGCCATTGTTATCCAATGCTTTTTGTAGGGTACCATCGAGTGTGTTGCATCTTTTGCTAACGCATAGTAGAAATACTAACACTCTTTTGTTCCTGTCGATTAATTATATTAGACCAGAATGCCTGGTCTCTATTTACGTGTCTGCTCCTAGTACGGCCGCTTCGACCATGTCTCTAATGTACAAAATGATGGTGACTAACAAGGGGAATCTAGGATGCGTGTTTCGGCTTATTTGATGGCTATGGTGGCCCATTGATCCAGTGGACAATTATGAGTGTAAAATTCCAACAGTCACTAGTTTTTCAGGTACATTTACCTGATGAATCCAGAGTTGGGACGAAATGTTCTTTCTGGATCCCACTGGCAGTTACCATCAAACGAAATAACATTTTTTCATTGTTTTGTTCATATGTATTGTCATATATTGTCATATATGTATATATATATACTTCTTTTGCTCTCCCAGTGGAATATAGTGCTCCAAGCTAGATCTTTGAAGTTTCAGTAGCAGCAGTTTTATTGTTACGGGGTGGTATTGGTAGTCTTACTCCCAATCTCCCCTCTTAGCCGGGCTTAATACCAGCTAAGCGAGTTTTGGGAGTGCGTCTGCCAGGGATCGAATCCCCGATCACCTCAGTGGCTGGTGAGTATTCTACTTTTGCCCCACCGACTCTGAATTTCTCTAACTTTGCCTCACATTTAAACCATCCAGCTCAGCAATTGGAACTACGCAGAAAATTCGCCCATCTCAGCAACCAACCTTCATTATTTCTAAAGTTTAGTGGAGTATAGAGATGAGGGAAATCAAAAAAACTGTCTCCGGCGCAGGTGAAAACACTATCAGTGAAGTTGAACTTTAGTTAGTTGCCAGCCACCTGGGTACATGATCTTTGACAACCAACTGGAATTACAGGTTGTATAACCAAATGAAATTATACTCTCTGTCCTGGTTCACCCAAGCATGTCCTGGAAGACTAAGTGTTTGATTACTGTGTGGATGAATAACGGTGGAGTTACCAATACTACATGCATGAGTGAGGGAAATTCGACAAGATAAATGATCTTTGGACAGAATTTCGATTCTGAGGTAGAATAAAGAACAGAATCAGAAATATTAACGGATTTCAGGACACCGTGATTTACAGTGTCAATCGTCTTTCTAAACAATTTTGCAACTTTTATTCCTTCTTAATTCTGATTTGTTGCACAAAGTCAGTGGCAAGGTCTATCCGGATGGCTGCACAATAGCAGTTTACCTTTTTCAGATAGCGGAAACTAAAGGAGACAACTTCTAGCAGGTATAAAACTTGAGGAGGTATCTATTGTGATTAAAATTTTCAGTCACTAACTCCAGGGTCCAAATCCTGATCCGCCTATTTCAAATACCTATGAAGCAGCTTCTACGTATTCATTAGCGATCATGTCATAATAAGTCTAACTTCGATAGCCTACAATGCGTCGATGGTGTAGTGTCAAGATTCTCGCTAAATACGCATGCACTTGATTCAGGTTCGAATCCCGGGGTAAGGTTTTGCGTTAGTAAGGCCAACAGCCTCATCGCGTAAAAAAAATAGCAAACAACATTTGTATTTTACTCGAAACTATAAATGGAATAAAGAATAATATCCTGGAACATTAGGTAACTGAGCTCTAACTCATTAACCTACTAACTGTTTAATTTCCTCTTTTGTTATTGTTTTCTGTTGTTGTTGGCGTCGTTCTCGTCGTCAGGATAAGACAAATCCAATCTATGTGTTTACGCAAACCTTACCAAATGATACCAGTGTACAGAAACCTGATGTTTTGCAAGTGAACGGTAAGTATGCCATTGTGGTAAAGTGTAATTCCATTACGGATAAAATTTATTTTGAGAAAGTCACACAATGTTGTTGTTATACAGTAATATTTACCGCTGACAACGTTTCGAGCACAATTTATGGCTGCTCATAATCCTATCAAGGTACTTACACAACCTTCTGACTTGGTTCTTATAATTCCATTATTTTTCATCTTTCTATTTGATAGGTAGTAATATTTGCCATATCTCTCGTATCAGTTTGATGAGTCATTCCTACTGCATATGTTGGGTGTAGATTCGATGAATCACGATTCAGTAACTTTGTCCCACTCTATTGTGTGGTTGTTTGTTCGTGCATGCAGTGCAATCTTTGAATTCTTTTCTAAATTACTTATCTTCACGGGGTCAACCATTCTAACCTTAGCTAAATTCTTATGTTCTGATAATCTGACTACCCCTGATCTACTAGTTTAACCTATATAGTTAACCTCACAGCCACTGTTAGGAAAGTTCGTCTTCACTTAAGTCTTCTGAACATATACTTCTGACTCTGTAGCTAAGGTCCTTTATTAAAGAAGAAGCTAGTTTTTATTTTATCTAGCGTACATAAGAGAAGATGCACCAACAAGAATAGAGCCAAGAGTCAAAGGTGCATTGAGAAGTAAAATCCCCCCCCCCACTCCTAGATTTATTCTTCTTTATAGCAAAGCGAAAATGCTCAGTAATACAGTGCATAGTGATCATGCCAACTCCAATTGCATTTACCAATTCACATACATTTGCGTTACCAAGTACTTATGAAGGCGCGAGAGGAGATTTTCTCAGCATATCCTCAGCAATCTTTTTATGAAAAGAGCAAATACAAATCTCTGAACACCTTATTGATACGAGGCCATTCAGTCAAAATCATTTACGCTTTCTACAGAGAAAACCATGGCTACTTCGATTCTCAGAAACCATTGCTACATACATAAGGACATTGTAATTAACCTCGCATTGTCGTGGGAATTAGACGTCTCTGCTCTGTCGTGGCACAATCTTTTTTCAGATTATAACTCACTGAGCTGAACTCATCACTAATCTTCCAACCTAAATGAGTTGCATAGTGGTAGAACTCAGGATGCCTATTTTGTTCTGTTTGGGACTCTCCAGCTGGATGCATAAGCCTTGTCGGTGGTGTATGTACCTATCCAGACTTGCGCCCTGCAGTCATCGTTTCAAACGTTAAAGTAGATACATGCAATCACATTCAGGTGACGAGTTTCAAGTACGACGAAATTCTGATCCTGAAACCTACTAGTAGTAGTGGTCACCATATAAACAAAAATTACAATCCGCTTGATGTTATTATCAAACTGCATAGTCTGTCAACTACTCCAAATCGTCTAAATTCTGGCCTTTACTCTCATTGTTTTATTTTTCTCACCTTTTAATGATAATTCGAATTATTATTATTGTTGTTTTCAACTGCAAAGAAGCTTTCTCCCATATATGTATGTATACACGCTTCCCTCCTGTCTTCTTTTTCAGACGGTGGATATCCACGACAATTGGCTAGTCTTTTGGAATTAGCACCATCGGAAAAAGTATTCGAAGATCGATTACGTCTTATTCGTGCACTTACACCGATTGGTCGTGAAGCAGCTAATGCAATTGAACAGTTAGTATCTGAACAACGTCAAATGATACAGGTAATAACAAGAATAATTTGTTTCTGTCCTTTACGTTCCAAGGGGAACAGAGGAGCTTCAACTTCTGAACTTTGCAGTTTCAGTAGCTGTCGAATTGTTTTTACGGAGTGGGGTTGTTTGTCTCACACCTGACCTTCCCTCTTTCCCGAGATTACTACCGGCTAGGTGAGGTTAAGGAGTATGCGTCGTCAGCAGGGAGTCTGTTTCTCGACAAGGTGCTTTCGTGGTTAGCGAGCATTCCACCCCTGAACCACCGTCTCACAATGATAATAATGATTGTTTAAAATTTAGGTTGTATCATCGATTGTCTTATACTGGTGCAAACGATCAAACCGATAACTGATAATTCTTTGAGTCTAGCAATATGCGTTCTGAGGCCATAGAATTTATCAGTCTAAGCGTGATGACATATATACAAATGATTGTCATTCATTAGTTGGAAATCACACACACACAGACCAACCAAGTACTACTTGTAACTATTTAGATCAACGTGATCTGAGCACCTAACAGCCGACGGTTTCACTTGTCGTGAGGTCAAGCTCAACAGCATTGTACCTGGTATGACTTGCCTCAGTGTTAGATGAGTCAGTTGAGCTGGGATCATCCAGATTCTGTCTGGTGTTTAGATTATGTGGATCTCAGCTCCTCCCACCCTCGCCATGTGAATCGTTAGTATACACAGCATCATACATATTACGATCTGAATATTTTTTTATTCCTCGAATTGTATATAGTTCAGTTTTGGCCGTGCTAGTCCAGAAACATTCAAGAATGTTCTAGATCATCTCAGAGTCTACTATTTTTACTTTATGTAATTCATTTGAAGCGTTGTTATTTCCTTGAATAAGCAGGATATCATTATCCTCGTTATCGACTAATGTGTCCTTGTGTGTTAACTAACTGAGTAATATTTTAAAGAATTCAGTGTCACTCTCCGTTTAATGAGAATGCAAGACATATGCTTTCAAATGGTATACTTATCGATTAAAAGGAAACTTTGAAGATGTTTCTATCACATGTCAAGCCCTCACTCAAATGGTGGTGGTTTTAGCCAACTAGGAAACGATGAGTAGTTGGGTACAGCCTTAGGATGACACGGTGGAGACACGGAGGCTTATGAGCAGCAATTGTTCACTCAGCTAGAAAGGACTCGAAACCATAGGGAAGTGGAAATATTCCTGCTATACTGTTGAAGCTTTAGTGCTACACTCGAACCCCCAAGGAATAATAATCATAATTGTAATTGAAGGTGTTTTCTAGAAAAAATACTTCAACCAGCTTAGAGAAAACTACAAGCTACACTTTAATTTCCTTCTCATCAATTTTGTGATGTGACGTAATTGAAAAACACATTATCGACTGAAAATCACATCGTCAGCATTATTTGTGATTTACGACATATATATATATATATATATATATATATATATCGTAAATACTGTAAATGTACGTGTCTTTGTTTGTTTGTGCCTGCGTGCGGTGTGTGTATATCCCTGTATGTGCGTGTATGTCTCTGTTACGTGTTTGCATGACGTTTTCAACAGAAGCATCCAGCCTAGTTTCAGACATATAGTGACTTTAAAAAAAAAACAAAACTGATATCTGCAGTTTTTTTTATGTTTAAACTCTTGAATGTATGGTCATGTGTTTTTCATAGTATTAGAGATTATATATATAGTATACATTTCAACTTTTGTCTACTGATGACTGACGTAATACAACATGTGCGTCGGTGACACAGTGGTTAGGACTCTCGCCGACCATGCACATGGTCTGAGGTTCGATCCCCTGCCGACGCACACCTGATATCTATGGTTGGCCTGCAAAATTTGGGCTACTGATATCCATGCTGAAAATTCTATACTTGTTCCAAAAATACAGTGTGAAATCAAGCTGTAAATCATATAAATCAAATAAAAAATAAGTGTAGTTTCTGTAGTCGGATTAACCGTAATAGTAGTAGTTACAATAGAAGTACTACAACTCTGTGCCGATGTTTGCCTTTTTTGTACTGATAGAGGGAGGGAGATAACAAATTTTTTAAAAATGTGACAGATTATTGCCTGCCTTAAATATTCCTTCCTTTTTTTATAGTATTTTTTGACAAGTATACAGTTGAATGAATCCGTTCAACATTATGCGCGCGCCTACACGCCGAAAATTGACATAGGATGTGCATTTTGCAAAGAAAATTGTGAAAGTCCATTGTATAGTACGCAGGCAATTGACTGATATTCAGTTTGAGAGAACCATTAACAAATCAAAGAGTGTATTAGTTTGCGTGGGATTCTGTAGCATTATATCCCCCCCCCGCTCGCCTCCGCCACATAAGCCTATGCAAGGGATCGAAACGAGGATAAGTCGAGCCTGTTGACCTTTTTTTTCTCATTTAGGATGGAATCTAATGAATTTTTACTTCTGCTAATTCATAATTTATGTAGTGCAACACCCAGCTAATACAATTGGTGAGTATTTCTCTTCACATCCTACTTGAAGAGCCTCATTGGTGGTCACGACTTCCCACTAAGTACTCCAGGTAATTCAATCCTTTAGTCAATCATGAGTGTAGATTAGAGATTAATTCCCAAGAGTTAGTTCGTAGGGATTTGATCTTTTGTTTCAAGTTCAACCATGGGTTCACATATGAGTAAGAGAAGAATGAAAAATGAGTGAGTACTGGACAGCTGTTTCATCCTAGTTTGAAACTCTTCCACAGTACACAGCCACCGAGGTACGAATTCAGGACCTTCCACTTACTTACAAGACAAGCTCGTAAACTAATCAGTCACCGAGATTCAACTTAATGGCCAATGAATTCCAACTTCTACCTTTTTGTGATTTTTAGTGTGACCACCAGCCATTATTATATGGGCCATTGAGTCGGGTCTCAGTAGTTTGATGGCTTACAAGCGCTTACCTTGTAACCGGAAGGTCTCACGTTCTAAATCTGGCTGTGGGTTCATACTGCCGATGAGTCTCGAACTAAAATGAAATAGCTAGGTACCCAATACTCCTTGTTGATTTTCTGATTGATATAAATATCTGTGGTCAAAGTTGAAATAAAATTCGATTACTTTCCAAGTGTATATTTCACAGGGATTTAATTGATTTCAAGTTACATTGCTAACTGACGTCATTTAGGGAAGCATTGAAAACCAACCCGGAAGTACTGGGTAGCTTAATATGCCCAAACTGGGACAAAACAATTTTCTAACACTCTCTGATTTCCAGTAAACACTCAAACTGATGTTATTTTGTGATTCTGTCTGTTTTTCGACATAGAACTTTGCATATATGCGCGGCAGTTCAAGTCTCCACACTCCATGTAGCACACAAAGCAAGAGGAGAAAGTACAAGAAATGCATAATAGAGACAGTAAACGAAGGTGTGAGAGAAAGGAATAGTAAAGACGAATAACAATATTGTTTCATTGGAAATCATAAGTCACATGGAGTGGATGCATCTGCACTGGCCACTGAGAACGATTTTGAGCCATGTCACCGGTTGTTTCCAACCACTGGTTTTACCGTCCCGAGGACCTCAACCAGGAAGCCAGTCTACACCTTCCCACGTGGCTTAAACTAACTGTTGTGGATTTCATTGACTGGTGAGGCCATGTTTTTGTTTGACCGCCGCTAGCTATTTTTCAGCCTGACCCCATGTCAGCTAACATTGCCCAATGTCGAGGAAGGCGATGACTAGGCATTCGTAACACATGTCCTAACCGTCTCAGTCGATGTAATTTCACAGCCTCGCCGATTGATTTCCCCTCCTTACCTAGCACTCGACGCCTAACCTCAATATTCCATGATTGAGTACTCGCAAACTAACACTTGAGAACTAATTTTTTGCTCATTAATGACTAAGTACAGGATTTAATTACTCGAAATCCTGGTGAGAAGTCTATGACCATTTGGTTCCACTAAGTCGAACGTGAAAACAGGTACGCGTCGATGACACAGACTGTCAGTGGTACTGTATGTAGTAAATAGTAAGGATCTAGAATTCATGGGTGTTTGGCATCAAGTGTTTGACCCAGTCAAATGATTGTTGTCCGTAACCCGTAGGTTACAAGTGAGGTTATTTCAACGTACTTCTGAAGAATCATGAACTGGAGGGGATTATCACTGTCTCTAACTTATACCGGTTCATAATGTAATCTACGTTATAATATGCATTTATTATAATATATTATCATTATTTTTCTTCCTATTTTTCTTTTTAGGGTTGGTGTGTTGCACTAGCCAATTTAGCTGAAGTTGCTACAGATACTAATAAACGTTTATTGTTTGCAACTAGTCGACTTGTACAATTTGAAGAATGTATTTCTGATTGGGAGAGAAAGTTGTACAGGTAAATTTTGTTTTATTGCGCAATGGTAATACGTTTCTCTACTGTGTGTTCTTTCTTGTCTTATATTTCATCTGAAATAAACTACTCTGCAAAGATGCTTTATCTCTTTGAATTCATTAATGTCATATTTCGGTAGGATTACTACTAGTTTCGTAGGGAAAGTTCTGAAAAAAACTCAGGAAGAAATGAGGAATAGGGACCACAGAGTGCGAACGCACCAATCACCTTGAACGCGTGTCATTCATTGGACTACAAGGTCTGCCGTGTATTTTACATCAAAAAGGAGTTAATTTACGAGTAAAATTAACAACAACACTAATAATCAAAAACATATGTCCTAACCATCGGTGGCATAGGGGTTAGGATGCTTGTCGACCATGCACATGGTCCGGGGTTCGATCCCCGGCCACGGACGCACTCCTTTACCTCGCTAAGCCAGAAATAAAAAGCTGGTAAAGAGGAAAGGTTGGGCATGAGGCTAGCAACCCCATCCTGTAAAATAAAACACTACTACAGAAACTTCAAGCCACTAGTTTGAGACCCTATGTTCCACTGGGGAACGTGAAGGGAAAAAAACCCATCTGAATCGACGTAGCTTGACAACTTCGTCGATTGATTGGCCCTCCTTACCTAGTACTCGACCCACTTCAATATTGTTTACGGTGTTATACCACTTAACACAGGGTATAAAACGCAGTCACCTATGATCAAAGACAACTAGCCACGCTTTTCATGTCTTTCACTCACAGTGGTAAAAGAGGAGGAAGTGAACTGCTGAGTAGTACACCCGTCCTTTGATCGACAGCCGGCTAGGAAGTCCAACAAGTTGGGAAATGCCACACAAACCTGAGGTTTCTTCTACGATCGCATCCCATCGAGTCTCCTCTTTTTTTAATGGTTCTGTAATTGAAGTTATTTCATGATCAAAGTTGTAAGTCTGTCTCCTGGGTTACTGTTCAGAGATTGAACAACACACAATCTCTGAATTTAGTGAATGAACCAATGCTCAAGGTTTATTCTGTTGTTTTTTGCCTGTTTGTTTATTTATTTTTGCATTTCTTCTGCATCTCTCCCATCCTTGCATCTTTCTTTTTCTTTTATTCTCTTTTCAGTTTTCATGAATTGAAAAAGGAATTGTCTGATTTACCATTATTACCACAATTAGTTGTGATTGGATCCAGTGAATTGACCAATGAGAAAGAATCGGTAGGCTCTTGTGTTTTCCAGCTTATATTTATCCTCTTACGTGGTTGTCGTTGTTGTTGTCGTCATCTTCGTCGTCGGAAAGCTCTTTCAGTTTTGCTATTGTTAACCTACGCTGCGGTTGTCATTTTGGCAGTCAGTTAGTGCTATGTTAGAGCATAGAGCCTCAGCGGTATACTTTCACTACATAACTGCCGTTCACAAGCTTTCATTCCCTCCAAGTCATCCTCGTAGGCGCCCAACTCGTTGCTTTCCATCCGCGTTTTACTTTAAAGTCTATCAAATGAAACAATCTCTTCATCCAGAGTATTTCCAGTCGAACTCTATTTTCTTTCGTTTATTCCCTTGGCCGAACAGACTGTCGTCTGGTTGGCTGCCTACCGAAGTTTCTTGTTGCTTATCTTTTTTTGGCAGGTGGTCGTTCGTTTGATTTTCACTATTAAGTGTAAAATCTGCAATTCATCTGGAATGTTTTTAGTGATGCTTCAAGTCTCTTAGTTGTCCTAGTCGTGATAGTAATAGACAGCGTGTTATAGTTACTTTAATATTGTCATTTTAATATTTCAATAACGTGTTCAATGTGTGTGTGTGTGTGCTTACAACAATCTTGTCATTTATTTGTATTTTAATGTATTTGACCTGATTCTTTCACAGCACTTTTAATATCAATGTCCTTAACATGTTTGCTATGTGTTATATGTGTGTGTATCTATTGCATTGGGTTGATAAAAGTGTGAATGCGTTTCTGTTGAATTTGAACGCGTGTATTCAGGTTGTACCCATATATATATATATATATATATATATATATATATATATATACTTATATAGTCGGCGAAATCGATTAAACATTTAGAGAGATATTCAAGTGGTGTCGTGGCTCAAGGGTGCGCAGTGTTTGAAGCGTCTCAAGTTTGGATAGAACGTCTGTCCAATGGTCCTTGGTTATTTATATAGACTATAACCGATATCGCAAGCTGGAGGTCCCAGGGTAACATGGAGGACATCGTGTGAAGAGGAGTAGAAACAGTATGGACTGACTGACATAGATGCAGGTGAAAAGTACAGCAGAAGACAGAAGCAAATGGAGACGTGCAGTTGAAGCCCTATGTTCCACTAGGAACCCAAGGGAACAATAGTAATAATGACCGATATCGTTTTGTGGTGAAAAGCAAATCCAACTTTGTGTAGTCGTTAGTATGGTATTCAACCTATCTGTTATATCATTCTAAACCCAGATACTTTTGAATTGTTATGTGTTCTCAAGTATTCCATCGTTCTATCAACTCGTTTAGTGTTATGATTATCCAGGAACGTAAAACCAACATATCCATCTCCACCCGATATCTTTTCAAACTGTTGCCTTGATGACTGTCTATCCTCGAGGTCTGGCTCAAAACGGCTTAATACGGATAGTCGACCATCCAATTGAAATTGTGGACGTCTTTGGTACATAAAAGTAGTAATAAATGCATTAATAGCCCCTCACCCCCCCCTCCCCTGTCTATAAAGTCTCTCAGTGTCAACTGGTTGGAACATTCGTAGTTAGAGAAATTGCATCAAAAATGACAAGATTCTTACTACTTAATGCCGACATCATCAATATCCTTCAAAAATGGGAATGAATCAGAGCAAAGATATGTTTCAAAATGTTAACCACTGTTGTAATTTGTAGTATGGTGAATTTATTATTGGGAGAATTCGTCATAAGAGCTAACCTGGTTTGTGTATTTTTATATGTTCATAAAATTTCGAGATTTATATGAGCTAGTTGGTTTTTGAATGTGTTTCCTTTGATATATATCTCTTTCTGAATAGTTATCGTAGACGCTGTACAATTTCTTTTTTCAGTCGACAGGGTGGTTTTAATCCTTGGCATTGTGATAGCAACTGTAAACTTAGATTTATCAAAGAGTCTTCTGAAGTCTTTGCCTTCTCCTAACCTGGATGATTTACAATTGTGAAACTTTCGTTGTCTTTCGTTCAGACAAAATCGTTCCGGTGAAAGTTTTAATATAGAGTGAACTCATTTGAATTCTTTATGAATGACATATTTGACTTGAATGTTACGAACTTCCTGGAATAATTTGAGCTCCGAATAAGATTGATTCATCATAAATTATTTAAATAAATCCCGGTGTGTTTAATAAAATCGAAACAAGGTTTTTCTGAACGTTTCACTGATAAATCTGCTGAAGAAGCTGTGGCTTACACAGCTAAACGTTCAGAAAAATCTTGTTTTAATTTTCTTAAATACGCTGGAATTAATTTAAATAATTTATAATGTATTTGACTTGGAGTTTGAATTTTTTCTGTCACATGGCTTAGTCTCTATTAGTTGATAAATTTGATCTATAATGATTATGTGTCTGTTTGATTCTTGATTCGTCTGAGTTAATTAGGCTTCTTGGAATTTCCTGGCATTTTGCATCCTATTCTAATTTCCTGATTCCCTCTCACCTATTTTGTGCATCGGTGGCACAGCGGATAGGACGCTCGCCGACCATGTACATGGCCAGGGGTTCGATCCCCGGCCGATGCACACCTGATATCAATGCTCGGCCTGTAAAAGTTTGGGCTACCGATATCGCATGGTGAAAATTCCATACTTGTATGAAAAATACTGTGTGGAATCAATCTACAATAAAAAAAATTTTTCTTTTTGATGTATCCGAGTCAATTAAAACGACCAATACAGATGCAAATTAACAACTAGTCACACCAAAGGTTGCCAGGAGATACGATTATATCACATTCATGGGGAATATCAAACAAGTTCACTTTATATTGAAGCTTACTCTGAAGCGATGTTGTCTGGAAAGACAACGATAGCTTTTCAGTTAAAGCCAACCAACTCACAGAGAAGGCAATCACATCAAAATCATCCACCTGAGCTACAAATCTTCCCTGTTATTTTTTGAGTGTATTCTATACAGCTTTTCTGTGGAATATTTATTGCCAATCAGTGCTACACATTGTCTTATATCACACGTCACACTAGTCACTAGTGTCCAATCAAAATACTCATTACAGTCCTACAGGAGGTCAATCACAAGCCCGAATAGCTCATTGGTAACGTCTCTGACTGCACCACTGGGTGACGCGGGTTGGAATCTCAGAAGGGATATGAGTTCCTTCAATGTGGTTGCAGATACGCCTTGCTGATTGGTGAGTGCCAACTAGTAGGAAACCTAGGTTCACGACTTCCTGCCGATTGCCTCCAACTATCTAATATCATCAGATCAATGTGCACCGTGATGGCGAGCTACCTAGAATGGTGGCCAGATTGCAAACCTGACTGATAGAATTCTGTCCTCACCAATTGAAACGACTAGACACATCACACTAGTTACTAGTGTCCAATCAAAATAAAATAACAATGTTATAGTGTTGTTCGGCGCATGTGTGAAGATCTCTTCTAGTGTTAGTGGATGATGACTAACAGTGGAATCCAGGATGTGCATTTCGTCCTATTTGCGACTTGTCTCAGCAGGATGTACCTGCATTTCTTAGTGAGTGATGGTGTTCCCACTCAAACACCAAATTGAATTGTACCAGTCAAAGTGGTCTAGTAGATAATGCTTCGAAGTTTGCAACTCTGGGTACTAGGTTCAAGTCTCAGTGGGAACACCATCACCTGCTGGCAAATGCAGGTACATCCAGCTGAGACAAGTCCCGAATAGAACGAAATGTGCCTACTGGATTCCAATGCTAGTCGTCAGCAGACAAATTATTTCACATAACATAATCAGACATTGTCGAAGCAATCTGCACACAGAGCCGACATGTCGACTTGAAGATGAGCACTTCTGCTCAATCAATCAATGGGAAAAAGCAGAATGAATTAAATAATCACTTCTCGTGTCCTCTTGAGTAATATTTGACTTTTAGTTCGAGAGTGTGATTCATAGTTAATGAGCAGTATCGCGATCATCTTCGATTTCAACCAACTTTCATTTCACTGTCATTATGAGTTGTAAATTGGTACTCAATATCGAATTGTTAACTCATCTAACACCATTGTTAATTGGCTCTCCAGTAAGAGTGATATGACGTTGATAACGATGGTGATGATGACGATGGTCTATTTCATGGACGTTGGCAAGATGTTATGATTCATGAATACTGGCTGTTTATCTGGATGATAACTTATTATTTTAGGTAATATTTGAAATTATAGGTACAGACTACTGAAGAGTTCAAAACAAAGACGAAACAGTTCCTCTAACCACAAAGTCGATTTACAAGCGGAAGTAAAGTTTCTTTTGTTTCCCTTTTTATGCTGGCCTACATTTTTTTTGATGGAACTTTTTATACCAATGATTTAAATTTATGTTCAACCTCTTTCTTTATCTAGTTGAATACCAACAACAGCAACAACGCTAGTAATATACCAAAACCAACAAATTTATACGAATGGGTTTGTTTACAATCAGCTATATCTAGTGTTGGCACACGTTATTCCCTAGTATCATCGTCTACATCATCAACAATTAAATCTGTTGGTCTGCAACATCTCGGTGGTCGTGGTGGTGGTGGTGGTCGAGTTCGTACAACAAGTACTGGTCAACTGAGTTCTACAGTGACTGGAGTTAGTCAATCGTCTAAAGTCTCCTTCTACACTGGTGGTTCACAGACTAGTTTGAATAGTTTGGGTGTAGGTTGTTCAAATTCATCGCCTCCATTGGATAACCGATTATTGACTGATCAAGGTTCAATGAATAGTGTTGACAGTAATCTTAGTACGTCCATACAACAACAGCAACAACAACAACATGAATCATCGTCAACAACAACTGGGATAGATTATTATGAGTCAGCGTTCTTAGAAATCATAAAACGAGCTATTGAAGACATACATTCATTACGATATGGTCCAGATGCACAGTTTCAATCAACTGGAAAACACCAGCCATCGCAACCACAGCCGACAGATACTAATACCAGTGAATTGACTTATGTTCGAGCGTAAGTAGTACTTCTGAACTTATCTTGATATTGAAAGATGATTCTTTTCTTTTTTTTCTTTTAATTTCCCAGTGGAACATAGGGCTTCAAGCTAGTGGCTTGAAGTTTCTGTGGCAGTGTTTATATTTACAGGATGGGGTTGCTAGCCTCATGCTCAACCTTTCCTCTTTACCAGGATTATTTCTGGTTTAGCGAGGTAAAGGAGTGCGTCTGTGGCCGGGGATCGAACCCCGGACCATGTGCATGGTTGGCGAGCGTCCTGACCGCTATGCCACCGACGCCACCACCTGGGAGTACTGGAGAGCTGTTTCGTCCTAGTTTAGGATTCTTCAGCAGTACGCACTCACCGGGGTTCGAACCCAGGACCTTCTGGTTACTAGGCGAGCTCGTGTACTCTTGTACTTTCTTCTCTTGCTTCGCGTGCTACACGGAGTGTGGCGACTTGAACTGCCGCACATTTGTGCAAAGTTCTATGTCGAAAACAGACAGACAGAGACAGGCGGGCTCGTAGACCATTGAGCCACTGGGACCCTTCTTTTCTTTTACAGCATAATAAATTTTAAAAAATGTCTTGCTGTGTTGAAGTCACCTTTGTTTTTTGAAGCAAAGTTAATTCATAATTAAGTTAATTAATCCTTGTACGCTCCGAGTGGAACATAGGGCTTCAAACTAGAGGCTTGAAATTTCAGTAACCGTAGCTTTATTTTTACGGGGTGGGATTGCTAGTCTCACGCCTTACCGAGGTTAAAGTTACAATCACCCATAAGCTTTCATTTTCTCCTCATCATATGATCCTCTTTATTTCACCCTCAGACTCACGTTAAATTCGTTTTTTCTCATTCGAGGGCCAGTCTCATAATGTCCCTCAACCGTCTTCTCAGCATATGTCCGATGCATCTGCATTCCCTTCGGCATATTGGCTGGGCAATAAGTTCTTAGTTGGTTTGTTGCTAGAGTTACGTGTACCCAATAGTTTTTTGACCGTCTGATCTGTTTCTGAATGTTGGCGACCCGCTGGAAATGCTTTTCGTGATGTGTCTCAAAGTTGAGAAAAGAGAAAAAGAAACTCAGAAGAAATATAATTAGCAGAAATGCAAGAAAAAAGAATAATCCCACGAAGAGAAATGAGTATTTCCAACCACATCACTAACAGTCTCTAGTCATTAGTTTTTAGCATCTTGATGACCTCAGCCAGACAGTCTACAGTAGTCGAATGACTCCACGGGATTGATGCCAGGCTTCTCTAACATAATGTGATTTCCGCTGATATTGCTTGTCGATCAAGATAATGGGTTGGCATGCGTGACGCGTGGTGGCATAGCCATCTCAAACCTGTTTTATTGATTTACACCCCTTCTTGACTAACACTACTTCTAACCTTATTGGTTACTTCGCATATAATACAATTTAGCGTGGATGATAGAAGACAGACAACTGTGACCAAAGTCAATCAGCCTTTTCATATCTTCTATTTTCAATGACCATGGTTCCTAGCCATAAAGATGGGGAGAATGAACTGTGGTGCAGTACATATCCCTTGATAGATAACCGGACACAACCTGGTAAATACCACACGAAGTTTTTCTGTCAATATTGACATTTCGTCAGCAATCAGTCCATTGGAAGCAGATACAATTTCCCAAATGCCGGAAGTGGTCACTATAATCTACTACTTCATGGTGATTCTGTTTGGACCAGTCTTGGAGTATCATAATCATCTTACATCTGACTCAAGAGAATCCCATACCAAATATTTGAAGATTTCTGCCTATGATGTTCGAAATTCTCCTTTAACTATGCCTTCTTTATTGGTAATATGTTCGTTATCTAGTTGATGACGGTGTTAGCACAATAGAATTCATGACTCGTCAGCTAGATGAAGAGTTGATGAGATAGAGATGCTATAGGTTTATATACTCACCTGACGAGTCTCGAGTACGATTAAACGCATTCACCTCAAATTCAACTTATTTCCACATTATAAGGAACATTTTATCTCAGTATTTTTAATACTCTCACGTCTATATTTCCTCGTTTAACCAAATACACACATACACGCATCACTGTTTAGTATGTACTGACCTGAGAATGTAACGTATGTGAGGACAGAAAATTTGTAAAAAAATCATAAGTGCATTTAGTATGAATATAATAACAATAATAATAATGTGAACAAAGGCTGTCATAGTGTATCACAATGCACGAAAGTATATCCTTTTGCTTTCACACACCCACATACACACAAACAGAGATAAACATGTTGCAAAAAATCCCACACAAAGACAGAGAGAGAGAGGATAGCAATACAATAAAACTATGATATGATATTAAACGGTTTAGTGTCAAGGTTAGTCGTCATCATCATCTTCACCAAGGTTATAACCCTGAATATTCTCAACCGTTGGATGTCTGATACTAATGCACTATAACCGCACATATACGCACAACCCGTATGAAACACAGAGGTGAGCACAATTTACAAAGGGGTAATGATAAATACATCTCAGAGTAACAATAAGTAACTAAATTATTTTGTACAGTTATTCATAAAATATATGACTCATTTTAGCCCCTGGACATATTGTAACCACTATGTTACGGGATATATATTTGAATCTAAGTAGGCTTATCATGGTGTGTGTGTGTGTGTGTGACCAGTCGTCAGTCATTTCGTTTAATCAGCATTTCAAAGTATGCGTGAATGTTAATGGTGCTTAAATAGCATTTTTTTTCGGCCAAGTTAAACTTTAAGCACTACTAACTACCGATGGAGTTCGACCGCACCAATGACCTTGTAACGCTCACTGAGCAAGTTAGTGAAATCTGATAAATGATGTTGTTATCATTAACCAAATTTGCTAATCGAAGTGTTATATATATTATTAAATGGGATATCTGGCAAGTTTCAGCTTAGGTTTGGGAAAGATTAAGTTACTCTTTAAGTCAAGGGAAAGTTGGGGTTAGGTTGACCTTACAATCGTGTTAGGTTGGGAGGCGACAGTAAGTTTAGTTCTAGTTAGATTACAGTTAGTTTAGGGATATTTTCACGTTAGGGTTAGGTTCAGGAAAGATTAGGGTTATTGTTAGGGTTAGAAGACCCAAATAATTACATGCATAGAATGTGGTTAAATTTCTCTGTTGATATAAAGAATAGAACTTGTGCACTGTGTCGGTGGAGTATAATTTCATTATTGGTAAAATTTATTTTGATAAAGTCTCACAGTGCTGTTATACAGTAATATTTACTGATGGCCACGTTTTGAGCACAGTAAATATTACTGTATAACACGATATGAAACTTTATCAAAATAATTTTTACCCACAGTGGAATTTATACTCTTAATATTGCAACCTAAAAAAGGGATTATTTTTATCACATGTGAAAGGAAAGTATCCTCTGTAACACTTTTATCACAGTTTCTATGCTATTTTTTCATTAATATATGTATTCTATACACAAAAATGCCTCCTTCACATGATTGGTACGTTCAAGGTCATCAGCTGGTTGGTGGTAGTTAGTGGTGCTTAAACTTTAACTTTGCCTTTTTTTCTGAAAGAATTCAGCGTGTAATAAAGACAGTTTTCTATAGTTTGGTTTGTAAGGGTTAGTTATGTTTTTACGAGTTGATCACGGATTGATATCAGTTAGAGAATCACTGAAAACCAGGGAGTGCTGGACAACTGCTGTTTCTTCCTACTTTGGGAATCATCGCCAGTACGCACCCACCCCACTGCCAGGGTTCGAGCCCAGGACCGTCCGCTTACAAGGCAAGCTCGTATACCATTCAGCCACTGGGACCCGATTCAATGGCTCATGAATGCTAACTTCCACTAATTCGTAATTTAGCGCGACCCCAACCATTGTCGTTGGTGGGACATCCCAGTGGGTGCGTACTGCCGATGATTCCCAAACTAGGATGAAACAGCAGCTGTCCAGTACTCCCTGGTTTTCAATGGTTCTCTAACTGATATCAATCCGTGATCAACTCCTAAAAAGACAGTTGCGGCGAAGGCCATTTTCACCTCTGCAACTGTCTTTTTATTATTCCCTATGATGAAATGTGCATATCCTTTGAATTCTCCTTCCGACGATTTCATTTTCATAGCTGCACAATCGTATATTGTTACATATTTCAAGAATTGGTTTTTGTACGGATTTGATTTATTTTTTCGAGTTTGACCATGGATTGATATCAACTGGAGAACTGTTGAAATTAATCATGGAGTATTAGACACAGCTGTTTCGTCAGCCTAGTTTGGGACTCATCCGTAGTATACAAGCACAGGCAGGGTTCGAACCCGTGAATTTCAGGTTACATGGCAAGTTCGTATACCATTCAGCCATTGGGACCTAATTTCTCAATGGCCAGCCCATGAATTCTAACTTCTACCAATTCGTGGTGTTAGCTCGACCGCTAACCAATGTCATTTCATCGATGGGAACTCCATCCTCACTGCCGATTGGATGGATCCCAATGGTCACAACTTCTCATTAGGGCTCCAGGCAAATTCGTCCAGTATATATATATATATGTTACAATAGGCAATAACAATCAGTTTTCTTTTGTGTGTGTGTGTGTGTGTGTGTGTGTGTTAATGCTTGACAGGGAGTAGGAATACGAAAGTGCTATAATGGTAATGATGTATCGGATTATGAGTCACAATTGATTAGATACATGAATGAATAACTAAATAAACAAAAGAGATTTGTACTGTCTCTTTCGTTACCATGGTCTTGACTTGATTACGTAATTCACATAAAGGTATTGTTTATCTTTCTTTATTCCATGTTCTATTTTTGTATTATTTTACTTTCACTTTATGTTATGACATATTCTAACATTTTATCTAATCTACTATTTTGACAACATTTCAGTCATCCTATGTCTCCATCATACTATATTCACATTTCCGAAAGTACTTTACTCTAATTTATTTACCGATCATCTATTTCACACTTGTCTATTGAACTTTAGGTTGACCTCTATTTAAAAGTTGATTTGAACTAAAAATATTCTTTTCAATAATTTCCCCTCCTCAACTTCTTACAACTATAAAATATGATATTTGCTAGCGTCACAACAATGACCAGTGGATACATTTCTACGTAGAATAACAGATTAGTAGTTATAGGGTGTCAAAATACATGGTAGTATTTGTATGACAAACGTGTTAGTAGGCTGAATTCAATTACAAAATTTTATAAAATGAAAGGGGCGATGGTGGTGATTACTCATCACAGATTTGTAGAGTTGTGGGGTAGGAAAATTGACAATTCAGTTCAAGGTTATAAAAGGTGTCAGGTGAGAGTGACTAATACAAAGTAGTAGTTGCATTGTGGATTTTATTCATCATGAAATAACGAATATGTGAAATGAAACAGGTGAAGGCATATATTGAGAAAAGAGATAATATTACTAATAATAAGTCCGGATAGTATAAATGGAAATTTCGATAGTATCGACAGAATGTTTGAATGAAGGGTATGAATTACAACGAATAATGATAATAATTGTAATAATAAGCAAAGAAAGAAAAACCAAGGGGGTTAAGGGGAAGAAGCACTCTTGGTGAGGAGAAGAAGAATCATTAATCCAAGTTTCGCCAGAGTAAGAACAGCGTCTGGACGTGTTCATTTTGGATACAAAGTCTCTGTTTAGTCGATCTTATTGTGGAACAGCTTCAGCTATGTGCAGGAGATGTAGGTGAACTGTGCATGATGACGGCTTCGGAATTTGGTATATAACCAACCCTGAAAGCTGTGTTGTGGCATCGATTAAATGTCTAGTATCGACTTGGTGTGACAGCATCGACTTTTTTATATATTTAATTTTCCCCTTAGTGAACCAAGCTGGCAAATGTTCTCGAACCTGCAGACAAACCTGCCTAATCGTGCGTCCTATATAACTTTATTGCCTCTATTTATTTAGTTATTCACATATCGAATCAGTTGTGACTCATAATCCTATACACCAATATTATTGTAGCACTTTAGTATTTCTTTTTACTTCAAACTTTAAGTTTCTATTGCAATTCATCTGTATACGATTGTACAGTTATAAAAGTGAAATCGTCGAAAGGATAATTTTCTTCTCTGAATTTATTGATTTTGTGTCGTAATTAGGATTGTTAATTTAATTTTTCTTTCAGTGTACAAATATATACCCTAAACTATGAGTTACATTCATGTGCGTAGAACACTATTCAATAGCGTAGACCGGATGTTAAATTGTTTCATCTTTGACTGCAGATTGAAATCAGCTAGATAACCATTGAAAGTCATCAGAGGATACTGTACTGGACAGCTATTTCGTCAGCGCAGTTTGGGACTTATCATTAGTTCGAGCCTAGGATATCCCGTTTACGAGTCAAGCACTTAGACCATTCAGTCATTGGGACCCGATTATTCAGTGACTAGCTAGTGAATCTTAACTTCTACCATTTGGTGATATTCACCACGATCACCATCCAATATCATCGGCGAGTATATGTCCTAACTCCCGACTGGGTGAAAAATACTGGTCACAACTTCTCAAGAGAATTCCAGAACACCGGTACCTCCTGGTTCCCAGTGGTTTTCTAACTGATGCTTAGTTAGTGGTCAAAGTTGAAAAACAAATCAAATTCCTCTACAAACTAACTCTTAAAAAGTGAATGAAATTGACAATTTGTGGATAGAAAAACAGCTATTGTTAATTAATCATAGCAGGTCTACCTAAATCTCACTTAATCATACGACGATCGGTGTTTATGACGCCTCCAAGTGTAAATTATTGTTGCAAGATTGTCAGGAGCATGTACCTACACTCACTCTTGCATGTGAACCGTTTGAAGTTGTCGATGAGTTTGTGTACCTGGGTTGACGTTAACTTAAGCCACCTCTGGTGCTGTCGTGACGTTAGTCTGGCTGTCAAAGGTCAGGCTTACAGTGCTTCCGTTTGCACTATCTTGCTCTACGCCTTTGAAACTTGACCTCTCTGAGCTGAGGATGTGCGGCAACTCTGCGTAAGCGATCATTGCTGTCTCTGCAGGATTGCTCGCGTTCGAAGGCATCATCTTGGGAGTAATTCTGAGGTTCGGTGGCGTGTGTTTGGACACAGTGGAGATCACCATTCGTTGAGTGTCGTTATCCGGAAACACTGGCTTCTATGACTTGGATATGTGTTGCAAATGTCACTGCAGAGTCTTCCCTACAGGTCTCTGTTCACGAGCCCTAGAACGAGATGGAAAAAGCGGAGAGGTGGAGGGTGGGATGAAGGATATTTGTGTATTAGGTTAGTATCTGTTGATGTATCACAACTTCCTGGTTGGAGTCTGAGAGATAGCTCCAGTCAGTAGCTCGAAAAGTTATCGGATACGGCCAAGACTTGCAATCAATACCGAACGTGTTGCAATTTCCTGCTTTCTTCTACTTAAGATGATATTTGACGAATGCTGTTTGAACTTGTTCAGTGTGACTGTTTTCCTCCCAGATGAAGTACGTTTTCCGTTCTCCACCTATATTTTTACTTCTTATCTCGTATGTTGTTTTATTGTCATTGTGTGGCGCATCTTCTTAGTGACCTATTGTACCAAGTTTTTTTGTGCTTATGTATTAAAAATAGAGTAATTATTTGTTATTATTTGTTTTCACATTTCAGGCAAACGAATCGTTTATCAGAATTAATTACTATGGTTAATACTTGTTCAAAATCGAATTATGATGAAATGACAAATTCTACTGTTCCTCATTCTTCATCATCATCGACTTCACCAGGATCAACCGATGTGAATAATACACAACTGGAAGGCATTAGCAGCAGTAGCAATACTACGACTACACAAGGTGCTTCTTCCGCGGATTCACCACCGAATACTGTTACTACCACCGCGTCTACTGTTGGTCTGTCAGACAGACAACAAACACTTGCCTCTTCTTCTTCCTCCTCCTCATTACACTTAACTCGTGATCAAGATGTAAATTTAATGATTAGTGTACATGATGCCTTAGATCCAGGATATTTTAGTCAACGTCTTTCACAACTCGATCCACTTGCCTGTGAAGCAATTGATTTAGCTAGAAAAATGATTGGAATTGAACAGTGCACAACGAAAACATTTCAACAAATTGTTCAACAGAAAATTGTAAGTATTTTCGCCTCTCTACATGTGTGTGTGTGTGGAGTTTCGATTAGAGTTTCATTGGCTTTTGTTTTTTTTTATAAGCAGTGTTTAACACTCGACTGTGATGTGTGGCGCATTGATTTAAGGACTCCACTTTTAGCCAACAGGTTTCCATATAGTTAATAACACCCTGGCCTTTATGCAGTAATAGTGGCAAATGGCCCTAGTCCTTTTGAATTTCTCATCTTGAAATCATCTCCATCCCTGTGAGAGTGACAAAAATGTTCCAGTTGTAACTGGGATTTAGCACCAGGCTTTTCTAGTTTCAAAACACGTTATCATCTAATGACGTAATGGGACCATTAGTACTTCTTCGTATACAAAGGACTGGCTGAGTGATCACGTTTAATTTTAGCAGTTCAAGTTATCACGTTTGTTAAAGTACAGAAGATGAAATGTAATAAATTCTTCAAAAGTAAGAATACCTAAGTGAAAACACTCCACGAACTCATGCAGCCAGATGAAAGCCTGCGGAGAGCTGAAACATTAATGGAATTAACCCTAACTGAATTCAGCGTCTCAAAGACTGACTTGTTACCAGGGAATAGTCTTGTTGACTCAGAATACGCAGATGATATAGTCCTTCTAGGTGAGGAAGACTGTGACTAAATGTAGAGTCTTCTGAACACTGAGCAGCAGAGGTCTTCGAATGTTTGGCATGCGACTCGCTCCTGCTGTCAAATGTAAAATGATGTGTGCTACAAGACTTAACTGCATCGACTACTCCTAGGTGAAAGATAGGGAGAGAGTGAAGTGGTTTGTTGAGTGTGTTTACCATTTCACTTATTTGGGGAGTTTCATCAGGCAGCCCCAGCAGGTTGGTCAATCACTAACGAAATCTCAGCACGCCTACGGAAATCGCTTTTGCCATTTGACAAGTGACTCCATCTGCGGCTTAGTAGACGTGATATCTGACTGGCTATGGATGAAATGATGTATGTACTGCTCAGCAGTCTTTCTCTGTCCTCCTTTATGGCTGTTTGTTAAACATGGTCATTGAAAGTGTAACATATGAAAAGCCTGGCTAGCTGTCTTTCATCATAGTTATGTGCCTTCTATTTTCTGTATTGAGGTTAAGCGTCGGTCAAGTGCTAGGTAAGGAGGGGAAATCAATCGACGAGGTTGTCAATTCACATCGATTGAGATGGTTATGATGTGTTACGCATGACTGGTCATCACGTCTCTCGACCAACGGTCAATGTTAGCTGACTGACATGGGATGCATCAGATTGGAAAAGAGTTAGCTAATGGTGGTGAAACGAAGACATTGCTTCATCAGTCAATGAAATCCACAACAGTTAGTTTAAGCGAGCCAACCATGTAGGGAGGTGTGGACCTCCTGACTGGTTGGGGTCCTCAGGATGGTAAAAACCAATGCAGACTAGAGACAATTGGTTATATGGCTGGCTCAAATCCTCAATCTCAATGGCTGGTGTAGACGCATTCACTCTTTGTAATTTATCATATCCAATAAAACTCTATTATTCTTTTTTCCACACTCACACTCCTGTTTATTTTCTCTCTTTTGATTGTCTCTTTGTTCCCTTCTCTTCTTTTGTATACCACAAGGATGGAGTGTGGTAACTTGAACTGGTGTAAATCTGTGCAAAGACCCACACTGAAACTAGTCAGTCAGTCACAATGTGGTTGATAACAGGCAACAAACACAACGGACCAATAACCAGCTAGGCGAAGTGTAAGAATATCAGATATGATATAGAAGATTTGTAGCTCAGGCGGATGATTTTGATGTGGTTGTGTTCTCTGAGCTGAATGGTTGATTTGCGAAGCTTTCATCACCCTACTGGGTGACATCTTCAGCGCATACTTCAATTTGAAGTGAGCTGTTAGATTTCTCCACGAGTTTATTAATCATCTCTCCTGGTGACCTTGGACGTGATTGGTTGTTTTTGTGTGTTTTCACACCTTCTTGTATTGGAACTGATTGTTTCTTTGACTTGAAATTTGATCCTTTGTGTGTGAAGTTTCTTTCTTATCGGTTGATAAAATTTGTCTATCTCGATGTAGTGTTTTTCACAGTTGTTACAATTTATTTTGTAGATGATGTTGGTTTTATCTTCTTTCACTGTTGAGTCTTTTGGTTGACATAGAATGGAATGAAGCGACTTTATTGGTTTGTGTACGACGTCAATTCCTAAAGGTTTGAAGAGTCTTGTAGTGATTTCTGAGATATCCTTTATATATGGCAAGGCGATTTTCTTTGTGCTTTCCTTGGTGGTTTTGGTTCGATAGGTTGGCTTGAGGGTATATGTCTTTTGATGAAATTCCATGGATATCCATTCTTTTGGAAGACGTCCATGAGAATTTTCCTTAAGATGTGAGTGCTGCAATGAGTCCTTGCCCTCTTGAATAGTGTTTGTACGCAATTCCTTTTGTGTGTTATTGGGTTGTTGCTGTTGTAATTCAGGATTTGGCCTGTGTGAGTTGATTTCCTATAAACTTGAGTTTCTAATTCCCCTGCGGTTGTTCGCCTGACTAAGACGTCCAAAAATGGTATTTTGTTCTCGGATTCCTCTTCTCTTGTGAATTTGATGTCGTTGAAGACGTTTATTAAGTTGTGAGTTTTATCTAATTCGTTTCTTTTGATTATTACAAATGTGTCATCTAAGTAACGTATCCAAATCTCGGGTTTGATCAACGGTGGGATTATGTTTTCGAGTCTCTGCACCACTGCTTCTGCAATCAAACCTGATATTGGCGATCCCATTGGTGTTCCTTTGACTTGTTCATATATTTGGTCGTTGAACTGGAAGTATGTTGTTAGGGATAGGTTTATGCATTCCATCCAGTTTAAGAGTATCCGTCGTCAACCGGATATCGAACTTGGAACCACTAGCATGTGTATGGTTGGCGAGTTACTCTGCCTCTATGAATGGACCGCTGACCCGAATAGGTTTTTCCTTTTTTGTTTTCTTTTGGACCTTGATAATCTTTTGATAACCTCAGTTTCTGAATAGTCTACACATTTTGCAAAATAGAAAAATTCTTCATTTAGACATTTAGAAAACAGAAAGATTGAGCGAAGAAATATTTACTTTTCAATCAGATCCTCATCTCTGGCTCTACTCTTATATACATGTATAGCATTTTTATTACAATACACAACAGTTTACCAATCAAGTGGCACTGATATGTTTGTTAACAATAATTAGTCAGTGTCAAAATATCAGTGGGTTCATAATTAACGAAGAAAATTGGCATACACATTTAAAAGGTAAAAATGGATAGAATAAATTAATTTTACAAGGATAACACGTAAATTAAAGATGAAGTGGTCAAAATAAATAGTTTAGACAATTATAATTTTTATAGGTCTAGGGGGAGGACGGCACCGTAGTCCTGTTTATGGATTCTTGTGACGATGGCTACGGTAGGGAAAGTGGCTGTACTCATTTTTTCTGTACACATAGGCTTGACTTCTTCAGGTGAATTCCGATTGCTTCAGCCGTCTGTAGAAGATGAACTCGCAGAGCAAAATTAAGATAGGTCGGATTGCGTTAAATAATTTTAAATGCAGTATTCACATCAATCTTATGCTCAGTATCAACGAGGTGGGCTAAAATAGAGCCTACGAATAGATCTTGTTTGTCCTGCCTTGCTTAATCACGTTGGATGATGTTCGAAAATACGATGATGAACCTGTCTAGTTGTACGCCCAATGTAACTGGCTTCGCAGCTGCAGTCAAACTGGTAGATACACACAGATGAGGAGAATTTAGGTAGTTTATCCTTATTTCTCGAACATAAAATAGGTGTGGTTGTGAAGAGACATCGTACCTCTGCTGCATAATAAACTCTTCTAACTGCATTCTTTGCAAAATCAGAAAAGCAAGAGTCACTTGTAGTATTACGTCGACGATAAATAGTCGAAAATACTCGTCAAGATATATTAAATAGAGATAAGAATAAGAAGCTCTGTCGAAAAACAAATATCCTATGGGAGATTTCATCGTCCAAAATTGAATTTCACATCCTTAAACTTATTATTTATTCCAAATAAAAAGTAACGAAAGGATAATGATAATGATTTTAACTTGATATAAACATAAAAGTTTGCAAGTGATGTGCGTCGGTAGTATAGCGGTTAGGACGCTCGCCGACCATGCACATGGTCCGGGGTTCGATCCCCGGCCACAGACGCACTCCTTTACTTCACTAAGCCAGAAATAATCCTGGTGAAGAGGAAAGGTTGGGCATGAGGCTAGCAACCCCATCCTGTAAAACTTAAACACTGCTACAGAAACTTCAAGCCACTAGCTTGAGGCCCTATAATCCACTGGGAACGTGAAGGAAAATTTATTTTTATTATTTTTAAACATAAAAGTTTGCAAGTGATAAATATAGATTTAAAAAAATGGGCCACTGAAACACAACTGCATAGGGATGCATTAGAAAATAGTTGCATAGTATATATGTTGAATAGTTTTCGTTTGCTTTCTTTTTTACAACGACGAAGACAGGTGTGTGAACAGGATTTGCATTGAAATGAAATGAAACACTAGGCTTTATAAAACTGTAGATGACAGACAAGTATGAAGAGATTGGAAGAAAGAAAAAAATAAACAGAACCAGACCCGATGGGAAACCTAGATGTTAGACTAATTTATCATACTTTTTTTTGAACACATAACTGCCGACTTCATGATGATGCCTATGATGAGGTATCTTTCGCAGTACAAAAAGAGGGTCGGAAACACACACACACGCACACACCACTACCTTTTTCGTAGATTTTTATTCATTATTTTTTAAATGATTTTGAATCAATGATGAGTCGTCAGTTGACACTGTTGTTGTTATAACAGGTGTGTTTGTCACAATAAAAAATCCCGTGTATTATTTCAACGTGTGAATATCCGTCTGTTGTTTCCCTTCATAAAGACTTATGGATTAAATAAAGTCGATTCCCTTGTGAACATTAATCACTTTTATCATCTATAGGGAAGAAAGTCTCTAACTAATAGTTGAAGTTCTCATGAATGAAATCCTGCAACCAATCAGATCAAATCCCTGCAAACTAACACTTGAATATTTTATCTGATACTTACTAGTAATTAACCCTATTTAGGTAGGTAGTTATCTGGATGGGTCCTAGTTACATGTCGTAACCAGTGGGATACAGCAGGGTCGGGTGTGAGGAAAGATACTCGTCACAGATGAAATTGACTACCCGTCGATGTATGTCATGAACTGACTGGTCAGTGGCTTAATGGTCAGTGAGCTCGCATTGTAGCCTGACTGACTGATTTCAACATAGAACTTTACACCGATGTGCAGCAGTTCGAGTCGCCACACTCCATGTAGCACACAGAGCAACAGAAGAGAGTAAAAGTAAATGCAAAATATAGATAGCAAACAGAGATATAAAGCAAAAAGAATACTAATATCGAAGAAGCATATAGTGGATGCATCTGCGCCAACCATTGACAACGATTTTCAGCTATATCATCAATTGTCTCCAGGCATTGGTTTTTACCGTTCTGAGGACCCCAACCAGGATGTCTATATCTTCTTACGTGGTTTGAACTAACTGTTGTGGATTTCATTGACTGATGAAGCCATGTTTTGGTTTGACCACCACTGGCTAGCTCTTTTCCAACATGACCCTATGTCAGTTAACATTGCCTGTCAAGGAGGACGGGAGGCCCTTGGTTCAAACCTCTGTGGTGGGTGCGTACTGATGAGGAGTCCCAAACTAGAACGAAACAGCTGTCCAGTACTCCCATGTTTTTGAATGGTTCTCATGATGAAATCCTGTTACCCAGTAATGTTATCAGTCCCAGTTATCATACTTAAAAGGATACAGTTTTGTATAAAGAGAAATAAAATGATGCCATTAAATAGACAAACCTCAGCACACCTTGGTGAATAAGAATCGTTATTTGTTAATTATGATTATTCCCTTGGATTCTGAGTGGAACACAACCCCCACTGTAAGCTTCCATTTCATCGTCATGACACAGTCTCTTCAACTTCACCTTTGGACGCCTTACCCTTCGTTTCCCAATCGACGTCTCTCCAGCATGTGTCCAGTCCATTTCCATTTTCTTGAGACTATTTTTTAGCCAACAGGTTTTCAATTTGTTCGTTCTTAGAGTTGTTTTTTTTTTTAATAAGAATCAAGAAAGATTAGTCAAATCTTTTTAATTCTTCACTAGTTGATTTCGGTTCATGAATAATAATGATATCTTTCCATAACTATTTATACTTATGAATTGTTGTGAACTGAACTGAGTTTTCAAGAGTGGAACACTTCAATTTGTCAGTGGCATTAGGCTAGCAAACTCATCCCATAAAAATAAACACCACAGCTTCTGAAACTTCAAGCTTCTAGTTTGAAGCCTCGATGTTCCACTGGGAACGTAAATGAATAAAAACAATAGGACTCAGATACCTATGGTAAGAGACGGTTAATCTTTTCATATCTTCCACTTTCAGAAAGCATGTCTCTACAGTCAAAGAAAACAATAGATTGTTTAATCAATGAGTTGTTGATTCTGGGAACTAATGTGATCAGTCAGTTGAACTGAAATTTTCACGTAGAACTTTTTGATAAAGTGCTAAAGTTTAAATTGCCATACTTTCTTCATAAAGGATATGGCTAGAGAGAGAGAGAGAAAAAAAAAACAAAGAAATGCGAAGAAACTAAATAAAATAATTTCATAGGAAATAATAAGAATTTAATGAATCTAAGAGAAACAGAAGAGATTTGAATTCATTTGTACCACTGATGACAATTTGCAGTCGTATCACCAACAGTCTTAAGCTTCTAAATCTTAGAGTCTCGAGAACCATATACTAGGGCACCCAGTCTACACACCTACATATGTGGGTTTCAAACGAACAGTTAAAGACTTCATTAGTCGAGGACATGTCTTAATTTGATTACCTCTTACTGGTTTTCAATGTCATTCATCCTTCCGTAATAGTCTTGACCTAGTCTGATAATTATAGCTTATAATATGTCATTTGATACGCGAAGGATAGAAGGCACACACCTACGGTTGTTGACTGCTAACTTTCGCTTTCAAGAATCATGCCTGATAGTTGTAAAGAAAAACAGAGTGAGCTGCCCCACAGTATGCAGATCTGTTTAATGATAACCAGATTAAATGTCTTTGCTTCAGAGATGTGATGCACGTGATCGAATCATATGTATCTAAACTGAAGTGGTGTTAACAGGAATTAGATCGATGAAACCTTTTAGAGCATTTTAAAGATACAACCGATGTCAATGTTCATTTAAAAACCTTTCCCTTGAGTAATATCACTTACACATTTCATTTTATACTTTTGCGTTCCCGAATGGAGCCACGGGGGTTCAAACTTTGAACTCTAAAGTCTCAATAACAGTAGTGTCATTCTATTTTTTTTATTTGTGAATTAGGACTGCTAGCCTCACACACTGAACACACCATCCTTCTTTGCCAGGTTCACTTCCCGGCTAAGCAACGTTTAAGAGTGCATCGGTCAGGGGTCGAGCCTCCAATCATTTGTGCGGTTGACAAGCATTCCCCCGCTGGAGAACTATTTTTATTATCATATTATTATATCCTTTAATTCCTAGAGGAACATAGGGCTTCAGCTGCGCGTCTCCATTGCCTTCGGTTTTCTGCCAACGTTTTCAACCTGCTCCAAGTCTGCCCACCTGTTTTCATCTCCTCTTCACATGACCTGCTCCAAGTCACCCTCGCACTGACGACCAACTCGCCGCTTCCCTTTCGGGTTCCACTCGAGCGATGGCTTGTCTAGTTATGTCACTTGATGGTTTCCTCAGTGTATGGCCAATCCATCTCGCAATCGGTTCCTGGTTGGTTCGCTCAGTGCCAGAGATCCCTGTTGCTGATCTTTTCTGGTCGGTCATCCGGTGTTGAGTATTGAGCGAAGATAACTGTTAATGAAGGTCTGAAGTTTGTTTGAGATGCTCTTTATGACGCGTCAAGTCTCTGATCCGTATAACAGCACTGACTGACTCAACATTGGAGTTGAAAATCCGGATTTTATTTGCATTTTCATGCTGATTGTTGTTGACCTCCACACAGACTTAAGAGTAATGCAAGCTCGTCTTGCTTTTCCGATTCTGGCTTTGATATCCTCGTCAGTGTTCCATCTGTAGTTGAAAATATGCTTCCCAGGTCGGTAGGTAAAGGAGGTTGTTTCTTTCAGGTTCCTCCCATTTATGCTGACTAACTGTCGTCTGTTGTTGTTGTTGCTGTTGGTGTTGGTCAAGAATTTTCTTCACCTCTGTTTTATCTATGTTCACTTGAAGTCCTATCTTTGATGCTTCTTCTACTTGCAACTTGTTGCTTTTCACTTGCATATCTTCCAGTTTGTGGGAAATCAGACATATATCATCGGCGAAGTCCATATCCTTCAAGTTTTTTGTGTGGACAACTGACGCACATATATTAATGCAGACATTAAATTCTAATTTGTATGGAATTTTGCTTAAACCTTTTTTCCCCACTTTTGTTTTCATTCATTCGTTCATTCATTCATTTTTTTTCTGTTTCTCACTAGAATTCATTGCTTCAAGCTAAATTCACAGAGAATACTACAAATTCACAAGAATTAATTATTGCATTTAATCGTTTATGTGAAATATTGGGTATTGTCATGCAAAGTAAATTATTACTAGCGAATAATTTATCCGATCGTCAAAGGTAAGTGATTCTTAGCACTATTATTATTAGTTTTGTTTTTAATTACTGTTGTCGCGGTTTTTTTCATCTTGATGAGAGCGTCATTCCTTCTTGTCAATGTATTATATAGCTTTACGTTCTGAGTGGTGGAACATACGATTTAAAGCTTTGAAGTTTCAGTAGCAGTGGTGTTATTTCTGTTGGGTGGGATCACCAACCTCACTCCCACCCAACCTTGTGTCTTTTCTAGGGCTTAGGAGTACGTTGGTCTGGCAGGGTTGTCATTGCCAAACGTTTTACAATGGCAACAGGCCTGAAGGATATGCTGGATCTGCTTGGGGGAGTTGGTTAATCTCTAATCGAGTGGTATATGAACTTGATTGGTCACCATCGCTGCTGCTCCGCGCCTCACTTTCCTGTGGATCAGACTCCGGAAGGTGGTGGGTTGGCCCCTTGAGACAACTGTCTGTTTCACTCTGGGTGTCCGGACAGTATTATATAAGTCGTTGCACAAACTATGAGATTTTATGTGATACATCTTTTGGTGCCAATAATCTATCAAATTTGTGTCTGAATAAATTTTATCTTATTGCTTCGGATTCCCAGTGGGTGCCACACAGGGCATCAGGCTAGCGCTTTGAAGTTTCACAGTGGCACTGGCTCTTTTTACGGGATGAGGTGATTAGTCTCACTCCCAACCTTCCATCTTTACTGGGCTTATTATTAGCTTAGCGAGGTTCAAGAGTGCGTCGGCCGGCCAGGAATCGAACCTCGGACTTTGTTGCCTGGTTGATCAATGCTCCACCACTGAATCAATCAACGATGCAGCATTATCATATAATAATAGCTATGTGATGTGATTACTTGCTCATTGACAGGATTTTTTTCATGTCATATGTATGTGACCCAGGGTTATTTGGTTTTTCGTAGACTTTAATATTATTCTCTCCACTTTTGTAATCAAAACAATAATGGCTTCATTCCAAATGGTAATTCTAATACAGTGTGAATCCTCAACACAATGTACCACAATACTGCATCCGATTTCCTCTTTACGTTATGTAGTAAGGGAGAGGGTAATTAACAGAAACGTAGTGTTAATAAAATTGGAACTGTAAAATTAACATTAAAAATTAATAGAAATATTGTTAAGTATTGATTTTGTAGGGATTTTGTTTGAAAGGATGGAGGGTCTCATCGTAGGCCGACATCAGTTAGAGAACCACTGGAAAACCTGGGAGTACTGTACAGCTGTTTCGTCCTAGTTGGGGACTCTTCATCAGTACACACCCACCGTGATTCGAACCCAGGACCTTCTGGTTACAAGTCAAACCTTATTCAGGCAGTGACCTGGAGTTCTAGTGCGGAGCCGTGGCCAGTAGGGTACAGCAGGTTGAAGATCAGGCAGTAACCCATCGAAGAAGACATTGCGAAATGGTCGCTCTATATCGTGAATTGGCAGAAGTTAAATACCTATCCTACTTCCTTGAGTAGGATAGGTATTTATTTTTCCCAATTTCTGTCCATTACAATAGAGTAATGAGATTTCGTTAGGTGGTTATGCAAGAGGAGGATTCAATTTTTCTTTGTACAGCTGATGCGAATATAATATTAACAGATAACCTAGTCAAAAATTTAATATACAGTCTGCCTTTTAATTGTTGAAAAGGCCAATAACATAGACTACATTGCATAAGGGATTATTTCATGTTCACACGTGTGTGTGTGTGTGTGTGTGTGTGTGACTAAACATACATAAGCAGCAGGTGTATTCGTGCTTAGCACGTGAGATTGGAAGAATCTATATTAGAAAAAACAACATTTTAATTGTATAACTTCGATAAATACAGCTGACTGAGTGCAAACTTCATCTACAACAAAACAGCGTAAGTCATATAAAATCACAAGACTGTTATCGAAATAACTTTCAAAATAGTGAAATACGCAGAAGAAGTGGGATAGCTGTCTGTAAAGTTAGGCCCCCAGCACTCTTCTTCGGGCGTGTGTGTGTGTGTGTGTGTGTGTAAGAAAACAACTCGTTATAACTCCATTATGGATAAAATTTTATTTTGATAAAGCTACACTGTGTTGTTATACAGTGATATTTACTGATGATGACGTTTCGAGCACAAATTATTACTGCTCATAATCATCATATCAAGATATTACTCACACACAACGTTCTGGCTTCATTTATATACACGAGTAAAAATTGATGATAAGACATTTAATTGAAAAAAATCAATATAAGATAAAGTACACTCGGAAATAGTATTAGTATTAGTGTATACAATATACAATCATAATAATAAAGCTTTTTGTATTTCCCAGTAAATGAAAAATACAATCAGATGGGAAATAAGATGTTTTCTATGGTGGAGATAAGTAACTTGTTAGAATGCTATAATGTGAATTCAATACATTTTAAAATTATTTATTTTCCTCTGATTTTACTGGTGGTAACAATATCTTCCATATCTACTGTATTTGCATTCAGTCACCTCTATCACATGTATTGGGTATAGACTCAATGAACCAGGATTCAGTGATCACTCTCTCTTTCTCTCTCCACCTACCTATATTACTTCTTAGAATTTTAACCCTCTCTCACCAACCTGTTGTGTGTTAATGCATTCAGTGCAATTGCTGAGTTCTTTTCTGAATTACTTATCTTCACGGGGTCAACCACTCTAACCTTTGCTAAATTCTTATATTCTGATAATCTCACTACTCCTGATCTACTAGTTTGACCTATATAGTTGACTTAACTCACAGTCATTGCAGGTTATTTTGTAAATTATATTACTTTGTTTAATTGGGTCTACCGGGTCCTTTAGCCTACCTGAGTGAGTTTGTAGTTATGAATGCCACCCTAATTCCCACTCTATTGGGAACCCTACCACGTAGGGTCTCAAATGTCCCTTTCTTATATGATAAAACTGTAGCTACCTTATATTCTGTCTTATTTATGTTATCATTAGTAGTTTCACTATCATTTTGACCTTTGCTGATCTTCCTCATGAATTTTATAATATAATTATTTAACACCAACAACTCTTCTATCTTATTGAATTGAATTTTTGATTTTCCCGTCGATTGATCGGTCCAACCAATCGACGGGAAAATCAAAATTTCAATTCAATAATAATATGACCTGTTTGCACAAGAGGTGGCTCTCGCGGCCCAAGTGGTCTAGTGGATAACGCTTTGGCGTTTGAAACTATGGGTACTGGGTTCGAGCCTCGGTGGGAACGTCATCACTCACTGAGAAGTGCACGTACATCCAGATGACGAGTCCTAAATAGGACGAAATGCGCTTCATCCTGGATTCCACTGCTAGTCACCATCCACCAATTAAATACTAACTCTTCTATCTGTTCTATTTCATCATTTAGGTCTTTTTTGTGCTACTTAGTGCTACTGCTCGGTTTATTAGATATGTAACTATACCTGACTTCACAGATAGATAACGGATGAGATGAATCAAAGTCTAAATATCCAATATTAGAATGAGTTGGCTTTTTATAAACGCTAGTGTGTAGTTTACCTTCTTTTCGTTTAATTTTACAATCTAACATAGCTAATTCCCCTTGTTTATTTTCCGATTCAAATGTGAATTTTATTCGCTTTACTAGTGAGTTTATATGTGTCAAGAGGCTAGAGATATGTTCTGTTTTTAACACGGTGTGTGAAAGTGTCATCCATATATCTCCACCATATTTTTGGAGTAGGATTAAATGTATTAGGAGCAATGTTTTCCCATATGTCCATAAAGATATCTGCTATGATAGGGGATATTAGTGATCCCATTGTTACACCATGTGTTTGTTTATACATTTTATTCATACATATCTTATTTCCCATCTGATTGTATTTTATTGATAACACTAATACTAATACTATTTCCGAGTGTACTTTATCTTATATTGATTTTTTTCAATTAAATGTCTTATCATCAATTTTTACTCGTGTATATAAATGAAGCCAGAACGTTGTGTGTGAGTAATGCCTTGATATGATGATTATGAGCAGTAATAATTTGTGCTCGAAACGTCGTCATCAGTAAATATCACTGTATAACAACACAGTGTAGCTTTATCAAAATAAAATTTTATCCATAATGGAGTTATACTCTGCCACCACAGTGCCGAAGTTTTATACTTATATCAACTCTTTGTTATCCTTAAGCTACTTTGATAATTCTTATTTGAATATATTACCAAGAGTAGTAATACTTAATATTCTTCTTCAACAGTTAGTGTATAGGGATTTCAATTGTTTCAAGTGGGGAACTATGAATTGATATCAACTGGAAAACGTTTGAAAACCAGGGGGTTATTAAACAGTTGTTCCGTACCACTCTGGGACTCATCGGTAGTACGTACCCAAAGAAGTACGAACCTTCCGGTTACAAGTCCTACTCTTGGACCATTCACTCACTGGAACCCGACTCAGTGGCCGCCAGCACATAAATCCTACCTTCTACTAATTCGTGTTGTCAACGCAGAACACCAACCAATGCAACCAATCCTCGATGGGTATTTTTCCTCACTACCGATCGAGTCGACCCCACTGGTGATCACAACTGCTCATTAGAACTCAATTCAAGCAACTTTATCCTGTAGTCGGTTACTACTAGCCAGCATCAGATTGCATTACATTTTCGTATAATCACTAAGTGCATGTTGCAAGTCTATACAGTGAGAACATTTCACAAATTAAAACGTCAATCTGTGGATAATTTGTCTAGTTATAAATAATTAGTCTAACGATGTCATTGTAGTGCATACACTTACCTCTTACATCAATTAGAAAAAAAATGATGAAAAATTATTTTCGATTATGACTACTGTTATATATTACGACATAAACAAAAAGTTCAGGTGACTTTGACACATTTTTTGTTGTTGTCGTCATTGAAAAACTAAAACTGTCAAGATGGTTTTAGATAATAGATAGTGCAGACGAATACATATCATCGCAGAAGGATTAACGATAGGCCTACTAATAATCACATGCAC